GTGTCACCAGCTGTTTATCGCTTGTGTGATGTCCTAGTGGGGTACAGCTTATCTATCTACCTAGTACTGTGTGATTATATCAAAAGATATGATTTGCAATACAGTATCACAGTAACTGATGATGTCACGGTGTGTTTAATCTAACAGCTCAGTAAGTGCTAGAGCTGACCATAACACGTAGCTACAATCAGGGCCGTATTAGGGCATGTACACAGGGTGGCAGAATGTTGAGGGTAGGGTAAGAAATTATCACTGGAAGTAAAATGTTCACACTTTTACTGCTTTTATACAACTAGCTTAAGGTTAGATTTCTGGTAGTTAAATGGTACGCCACTATTACTAACAGTGAGAAGAAAGGCAATGTGTCTGTAAGTGACCTTCATGACCAGTAGTAGACAACTGCTGTGTCTCGGAGATAAACTAGGACTATAACGTCAGTGAATCCGACACGAGACTGTGCCTAATTAGGTAAGCCAGTACCCATTTAGTACATGGGAAGATTTTGTTCCATTGCTTTGCTCGAAAAAAAAAATCGTCAAGTTCAACCAACATTCCCGAAAGGGTGTCTTAGGTTATAATTGTGACTAGGTTGTGAGGGCAATTTAAAATGTCTTAGCACTGGGCGCCCCCAAGAGCTATGAATAGGACTCCTGCAATGTTGATGAGATCAAGGTAAACAGCTCCAAATACCGTCCCGACTGGGGACAAAGTCGTCTAATGGCGAGCCAACATGTGACCGGGTCGCTTATATGTGTCGTGTGAGATTTCCTTAGCCACAGTAATTAAAGTGAAGAAGCCGGGGAGTTTGCAGGCAAACGCCCGCCTGCGGATCGGAAGGTCGTGGGTTCGCGTCCTAGCGGAGCCAGACCTTTTTACACAAATGACCTTGACTCACAGGTCGACCCAGCCTTTAGTGGGTACCAGGTGCAGTCATGGGAAGTAAAGACGGCTGGCGTGGTGGTGACCACGTCACCCACCAAGTGCCGACTGGTCATTAAAAATAAATGTCTAGCCATAAATTATTAGTACGCCTGAACGCATGGGGACAGGACCTTTACAGTATTATTAGTGGGGTATTACAAGCTGGATATTGTAAGGGCCCTTTGAGAGCAATTGAGCAGTGCAGAGGAACAGATAAATCGTTACAGTCTGGAGAGAATGGCACTGAGAGAAGTTACAAGGGGATCTGGCTGACGCTCAACGCTCAGGGAGAAGGCGAAACAAATTCACAAACAGTTACTGGTACCATCCTAATTTTAATACTTTGCTTTCTGCTGAAGATAGGTACATAGCGCTTATGGAGGTGTTCCGAGTGCTGTGATGTCGATTCTTCATTCAATATTTAACATCCGTCATATCGTGGGGGAATCCACTTAATGTGGTCATGGAACTGCTGTTTGCCTGGCTTGCCTGACGCGTGGGCGCCTATTTATTTATGTTCAAAGTTACAGACACCCACTGTTCGAATATCGACAGATCCAGGAACAGGAGGGTATCTTCCTTTATCAATATTATATTCCTGGTCAACCCAGCGTGGGTTCCATGGCCGCATTTTGGTGGGGGTGGGGTGGGATCTCATCCTCTCAAAAAGCATGCCGTAGCAGGCGACTAAGTAGGCGTGTTTCCTTCGAAAACGGAGTACATATGTCCGAGATACGAGGAACTAAGAGTTTGCTTAAAAATAAGCCACATCTGTAAAACGGATTGGCACGCAACATTTAAGATCTATGACAAAACTAAAATCCCTATGCGGATGAACAATAAGAACTATCCGACAGAGTTTATAGCCTGGGAAATTGAGAAGAAGAAATGTTCGTGATTTGACTCTTTAGTTTATGATGTATTCACCAATGGCATGGCCAGACATACATGCTTTTTAGTGTAACCGGTGAAGAATTTGATTGTCGGCTTTGACGGGATTTCAGCACTAAGTTAGTTGAGAACTTTGTTATTTAAATATAATAGATATAAGCGGCTGGCCGAATAGATAAGAACGCTGGTCTCTTGAGTGAGAGGTTCAGGTTCGAATTATCATCTTTTTTATTTTTCAAATTCTGCCTTTAAAAAAAAATTAGTCAGTCACGACTGCGGGTGTACTATCCACGCCGCCCTACATTCTCTTACCAAACGACCCCCCCCCCCCCCCACCCGCCTATTTTTTCTCTTTTTCCCTTCGCGTACATTGCAAAAGTTGTATATATAGATAGACATAAATTGAGTCGCGGGTGGTTCGATTTTTATTGACTGGGACACTTCATGCCTCTAAACATTTGATAACACTTTATGCCTCTTGTGACAATACGCGCGGTGACTTCAGAATGACTTTCCTCAACCTACTTTTATTTGTATGTATTTTGAAGTATACAGACAAATAGGGATTTGGATACATCCTTAATCTAAATAGGATGACCACATCACACCTTTAATTCTCCTGGACCGTTGGTCATATCAAACACTACAACTTTTTCTCAGATGTTAAGTGTTAAGGTACAGAGATAAGACTGACCAAGCAGACTTACTGACTGGAGATTTGCACACCATTTGTGGTGTCAGATAGTTATTCCCCCTGCCAGATCTTCAGGAACAGATAACAAGGGCTAATTGCCATTATCTCCCCCTGAGGTTACCTAAACTGGATTGCCGGTCAGAACGTCAATATGGACACAGTGAGCGGAAAGTGTTAACAGAAGAATTGACACCGTCTGATTTTATTGTGATGGCAGGTGAAGTAGACTAGAGGTGTGACTTGTCTTATTTGCTCTGGTCAGATGAATTGACCAGGAGATCCTAGCGTGGGAATTCAAACAATTGTTGTACAGTCACTGACTGACAGCGAATAAACTTGCCCACAGGGGAGGAGCATGACATCCTTGAATGAAAATGATTTTAGGCGTAATGTAGGAGGAGCTTGATAAAAGTTATAAAGTGGTGAACTTAAGGTCTGGTAAATGAGATCCTGTCCAGCACATGCCATCTGTTGGGCTTAACCTAAGCTTGAGACAGAACTTTTGGCATCGTGGTTTCATTTTTCCAGTTCCCACATTGGGCAGGGACTAGTAGGCATCCATTATTTGCCGACCGTCGAGTGTAACGACCTGCAGAAAGCAGTGAGGACGACAAACTGGAAAAGATAGGCAGGGTCTCAAGCCGAGAACTGTCCAAAGGTTGTTACTTTCCAATACCTTTATGATTTCATCATCCACATCATTCCAACTCTACTAGCCTAAACAAGTTCATTTTAATTTCGATTTATTCAAATAAATCATGGTTGATTTTGTTAAACCATAGTTGAGTAAATTGTGTACTTAGGTTCAAGTGTCTTTGTGCATATTAGTTTACTTCAGCTAACAAATATTTAAATCACTTGATGGGGGCTTTTAAGTAATGCCAGGAGAGGAGAACAGTCGGAGGGGTTAACTGAGTATCCTGATATTATCTCAGTGGGTTCATCTTGATCTCTATCTATCCCTTCTCCTACTCCTGTGGATACAAGTACAGCAACTTTCATTTCATGGAACGAGCCACTCGCTGTTTTCTTGGCTATCCAGGACTGTCTAGGATCAACATAGCTTAGATAATAGTCCAGTTTCTCACGTGGGTGGGCATTGTTAAGGTTCAAACCCACACCCTCACTATATCAGTGTATTTACCCACGTGGGCGCGCGACACCTCTAAACCTCTGATCGGAAAACTTCATGCCTCTAAACATCTGATCGGAACACTTCATACCTCTAAACCTCTGATGGGAACACTTCATGCCTCTAAACCTCTGATCGGAACACTTCATGCCTCTAAACCTCTGATGGGAACACTTCATGCCTCTAAACATCTGATGGGAACACTTCATGCCTCTAAACATCTGATGGGGACACTTCATGCCTCTAAACATCTGATCGGAACCCTTCATGCATCTAAACCTCTGATAGGAACACTTAAACCTCTGATGGGGACACTTCATGCCTCTACACCTCTGATCGGAACACTTCATGCCTCTAAACCTCTGATCGGAACACTTCATGCCTCTAAATCTCTGATGGGGACACTTCATGCCTCTAAACCTCTGATCGGAACACTCCATGCCTCTACACCTCTGATAGGAACACTTAAACCTCTGATGGGGACACTTCATGCTTCTAAACCTCTGATCGGAACACTTCATGCCTCTAAACCTCTGATGGGGACACTTCATGCCCCTAAACCTCTGATCGGTATACTTCGTGCCTCTAAACCTCTGATCGGGACATTTCATGCACAACAAAGAATAAGCGTCAATAATCGTGTTGTCAAGTCCAGATCACTTTTGCTCAGAGGTTTACTTTTATGTTTAGATGACGCACAGTTGGGATGATAGAGACTACTGTATAAACTATGTCTTAATAAGCAATGTAAAAACGGTAAAGGACCCTTTCCCATGCGTTTCAGGCGTATTAGGTATATAGGGCTATATTTTATTAAACAAACAGCACTTGGTGGGCGATGTGGTCAGCATTACGTGGGCGGCCTCAACTTCACAGGAAAGCACCTGGTACACACTCAAGGCTGGGTCAACCTAAAAGCCAATATCATTTTTTGAAAAATAGTCCCGACTCCCGTCAGAAACCGAACGCACGAACTTCCGATCAGCAGGCGAGCTTCTGGCCGCTAGACCACTTCGGGTCCCTAAATTATATGTGAATAAAGTTATTAAACAACCACAAAAGTATGAAAAAAAAACGTTTTCAGTTAACAAAACGGACCGTAATCATTTCACGAAAACCATTACTGACACTCAAATATACCAACTAGCATTACCAATTGTACTACTGTGCTAAGTGATTGATGGTTGAAATTCAGAGATGCCTCGCGAGATTTTGTAGTCCCGTATAAAGAATTCCAGTCTCACTCCAGCTTGTTCCCGGTGTCTCTTAACATGGTCAGTGACGTTGTAGATAATGTAAAGCCGCTGCAGATGATTCAGAAAGCCGTTGTAGATAATGTGACAACGCTGACAGAGGATTTACTTTAAGAAGTTTGAATACTCATTGACGCTGCGACCGTAGAGCTGCAGAACCTTGTAGAGCAATCTGTATTGATCCTGCAATAGACAAACAGCAGTAACTGATAGATTTAACGTGGCCAGAAGTTTGATATCTAGTACTTCCAGTGTAAACGATAACCACATGTAGTACTGTTTAAAGTGTCCACATCCACCCAAGGTCAATTAGGTGTTTCTACCTGAAATAAGAATATAATTAGCATGTCTGATGTGTTTAAAAACACGGCAGGTGATGCAACAATCCAATGAAATCAAGTTTTTTTTTTTTTATAAACAGAATGCCAATTCAAATACCACACTGGTTTCTATTGCACAATGATAAAGAAAACTTCAGGTTAGTGTCGCTGTATACGCTTGCTTCACAAGTACTTCTAACACCAAGTAGAAAATGTTTTAGAGGTCGCTGATCTTTTCTAAAACAGAGAAGAATTATCTTCCTTATAATAAAGCCTTTGGTTAACCCCATGCTACTCTTGATAAGTCTCATATTTTTATTTAATTTCATTCGTAAACTCCTATGCTTACAAGCTACTTTTTGACCTAGACTTGTCTTGCGATCTGCCGACTCACACGCCTGGTCCTATCCACCGTAATCGAATTTCCCCCCCCCCCTTTTTTTCCCCCTTATTTCGTTTAAGCCAGCGAGGGGCCCGGCTAGCTAGCGTAGTTGGCTAAACCAGACTGCGCGGTGACCGGTTACGAACTCCTTGTGGTCCCGGTTCACGCCCAGAACTAGGCAGAAAAGCTACATTTCTCCAAGATTTACGGTATTTATTTATCATGGAATCAAGGCCGAAAAGTTGCGATATCCATAATACCAAGCCTAAGGGTTTTAACAACTCATGGCTTCTGGATAGTTACCCAAAAAAAAAAAAAAGTTAGAAGGGGGGGGGGATATGCTACTGGATATAACCAAAATAAAGGTCATCCAGAACAAAGCTTTTTAATTTCCCTGGACTGCAGGTAATATCAAACACTCAGACTCTTGCCCAGAGGTAAAGTGTTAAGGATCAGAAAACACCGACTAGATAGACTTATGGCTCCAATGAAGTGGAAAGCTCAGACATAGTTGCAAGAGGTTTTGCTTGTCGAACTGAGGTGTCAGATAATTATCTGCTAGCCAGGCCTCTAGGAGCAGATAACGGGCTAATTGGGATTATCTCCTCCCTAGATTACTTCACTTGAGTGCAGGTCAGATAGCTAGTATTGACGCTAGTCTGAGAACTAAGAAAGATGTCAGCAGACAGAGAACCTGGCAGGTTGAAGATGGGGAGAAAGGTGTGACTTTGCTTATGTCCTCTGGCCAGCTTGACATACCGGGCTAATGTAACCGAGTATAGCAAACACATGTTTGTGCATTATGTATTGACAGATATTTAGTGATAGGACTGTCCCCTAGGGCGGAGTTTTGGCAGCACTCGAATGAGAATGGTTACAGGAGTAATGTAGGAGGAGCTTAAGAGATATTATAAAAGTGGGGACAGTAGGTTTGGAAATTGACTCTGCTAGCAGCACATGCCATCAGCACAACATTTGTTGACCTTGGTGACATTGTGTTTCTATTTTCTAGGTAAGCAAAACTATTTTTAACCTTTATTTCGTAATAGAAATTTCAATTGTCTCTTTGCTCATGTATGTATATTTTCTTCTTTACAGTACTCCTGAGCGGACATTACTCCACTCCAGCAAGGCACTGTCAAATTTCTTTATTTCTTAATTGATATTGTCGTGCATGTTTACAGTGTATATGTGTTTGAATGTTGTTAACCTTCAATATTGATGTTATAATTGAAATTGGATAATGATCCTGACTTTTCTTAATGAAAATCAATCTTTTTTTTTAAATCATCAACTTTCATAATGTCATTGAACTTACCAGGGTGGGAATGACCTGGGGCCTGATAGCTTTGATGGCTCCAACAACCAGAGGAACGGTCAAATGATGGTCATTGTCCATCCGGTCCAGCAGAAGGGACAGAACACAGACCAGGCCACTGTACTCTGCTCCATTCCTGGTGAGAAGACAAACAATGGAAACATAATTTGATTTCTAAGAGAGCTAGACAACGAACCGAATCATTTCATATTGTAAGAAAGACTGAGATAATATCATACTATAAAAACGACCGTAGCGGCTAGACGCTGGTCTGCGGATCTGGCGGGTTTTCAGGTCTGACGGAGCTAGAGTTTTGTTTCTCTTAAATTGAAGATGACTCCCAAGTGGACATAGCCTTAGATGGTTACCAGGTAAAAGCATGGGAAGTGAAGGCGGCCGGTGAGATACTGAACACTGAGTGCCGATAGGTCTAAAAATAGAGATCTAGCCCTATATGGTCAATACGAAAAGAACATGTAAAAGGGTCCCTCACTTTACATTGCTATAAAAAAAACAAAGAAACAGCACCATTTAAAACTCTAATTACTGCCTGTATCTACTTCTTTTTGTGGCGAAGGCAAGAAAAGATTTTAAAAAAAAAACAACAACATGGGATTAGGGAGAAGAGAACGTCTTTGAGTCTGATGATATAGAGCCACACTGCATCGTTTGCTATTATATTGACAGACAATGGAAACAGCCGGTCGCTCTACTATAAGAAATAACAATAATACTTGTACTTACAAAATCTCAATAACAATAAAGACAGGGGAAAGCGGCTTCAGCATTCACAACTTTCCACTCTCTTTGCTCAGTGAGAAAGCATCCCGAGTGGTTGTCGTGTCTCTATGTGTCCTTATCAACGTGTTATGTGGGCGTTTTTGTGTCTTTCTTACAGAATAGATTCAAGGCCAGATTTACGAAAGTCATGTTATCTGGTCGGCCGCGAGATTTCGTAGCGAATTGCCTGGGACTCTCCTATAGTCTAGGGGTGCCATGTTTTCCTCATTTGAACCATTTTAAGCACATCTGCCGTCGACGACAGCCATGGATATCTAGCTTTAAATTATAAAAAACTTCAATGATTCGATGCTCACGAACCGTTTGGCCTTCAGCGCTTTTCCCTAGAGTATTTCTTGTGTGCACACAGGCGCCTTCAGCGCCTGAGACCTAATCACAACAACACATTCCAGAAACTAGAGTCGTTCACACACAAAAAAGAGAATTGAGAAAAAAAATCTGCAGTTTCGTCCGGGACGCAGTGAGTTGACCTCGTCGAGCTAACCAGAGCCACTTTTCGGCACACAGTGTATAAACAGCAACGGAAGACATAAGATCCAAAAACATATGACATCCCGTGAGAACCTTTACGAAATCTCGCCGCTGACGAGATGGGGTCACTTTCGTGAGTAGTACCTAGTAATGCAATGCAGGATTTAAACTTTCTTGTTGCCTGAATGTTCTGATGATCTGGACTTCGCTGATGATATTTTTCTTCTGCCTCATTCACGGAATCAGATGCAAGATAAATTAAATATACTTGATGCGAGATCACAGCAGCTAGGTCTTTAAATCCGTGAAAGAAAGACAAAGGTAATGAGAATAAATCAGCAAATAGTAGTGAGGTTTCTCTTAATGACACCCCACTCCAAGACGTGGAGTCGTACACCAATCTGGGCAGTAATGTAGATAAAGATGGAGGAACTGATAGAGATATTAAAATAAGAATACAAAAGGCAAGAGGAGCTTTCATAGCACTAGGGAATTTGTGGAGGTCAAAAGAAATTAAAAGAAATACAAAACTAAAAATTTTTTATTCTAATGTCAAATAAGTACTTTTGTATGGGGCTGAAACACGGAGAACAACTAAGGCAATCAATAATGAATTACAGATATTAATTAACTGGTGCCTGTGCAGAATAGAGGGAATTAAATGGTATGATAGAATAACTAATGTAGAGCTTTAAGAGAGAACTAAACAGGCTCCGGTGGACCAACAGGTGAGGAAGAGACGCTGGCGTTGGATAGGACACACTGACAAAACAGGAGAACAGCATAACTAGAATGTCTTTGCATTGGAGCCTATAGGGGCATAGGAATAAAGGAAGGCCAAAAAACACATGGAGAAGAGAGCTGGAGAATGAAGTAAGAAAGATGGGGAGGAGAGGACATTGGAAGAGCTCTATGCAGTGGCGAAGGATAGAACGACTTGGCGTGAGCTGGTTGAGGGCCTATGCTCCATTTGAGGATAGAAAGGCAGCAGAAGAAGAAGAATGTTCTGTAACATTGTAAATTCGAGTTTTCGATGTTTGTCATGGCACTATTTATGTTAAAGTATTTTCTACGAAGTAGCTCGAAAATTTATGTTTGCTTTCTTGAATGTCTTCTCCTTTCAAACACCCTAACAGATACATGCACTCACGCACTGACAAGACTGTGAACTTACAGGTACTATACCTGTACACGCATATGAAAAGGACCAAGAACCCCAAGTAACATACACGTGCACACACCTGATAATACTGTGAACTCAGATAACATAACAGTATACACACCTGACACGATTGTGAGCTACGAGGTAACATACCTGTACATACACCTGACAAAACTGTGAACTTCCAAGGTAACATACCTGTACACATACCTGGCGAGACTTTAAATTCCGACAAAACATATCTGCCCATACAGCTAATAGGACTGTGAACACCCAAATAACATTTATGAAATTCTTTGAGTTCGGAGTGCATCTGGCTGAGGCACGAGAAACTAACAATCTGCACACATGCGGTACTAGGTCTGTACAGCGGATGTGCATACAATACTCAAGTTTCGGAAAAAGGCCACAGTCAAGAAGTGGATGGACAGCCATAAATTTCTGCCGGAGTTTACAGCTGATGAGCGCTTAGGAGAATAGAAAAACCTGACAAGGACCAAGTAACTCACCTGCACATATACAGCGTCCTTCCATCGGCTGCAGATTTCAGTGACCTCACGTGCTGGGTCACCTCGAGCAGACTTGCTGGGTCAAGGCTACTGGTGCAGCTGACGTGAGTAACACTCCAGTGTCGTTCAGTCTGAAATCCGATGAGGCATATCAAACCAGAGACACATTAAGTGTATGACAGGGTGGATTTTTATATCAAGAAGTCTCTTAAAATACCGATCTAAACATCTCCGCAGAATTGGAGATAGGCTTAGTCTCTCTTTGTTACTTGGGACAGGAGAAGTGGCAAGAGATGGAGACTCGCATCAGGGAATGATGATGGGATTTTCGTTTAGTGAAGTAACACTAAAAATGTAATCCTCCGCTCTCCATTGTTAGCTCAAACTCTGTTTTTATATACAACTGTCGCTAGCCGCCTCCTGTCCAAGCTTTATATAAATATACATTATACTCTCTAAAGATTTCAATTTAGGGAGGAGATCTCGCAGTCTCAACCAGGACGACAGTCTTAGAGAATTAACATGCACGCTAGAGATCCCTTTTCGAAAATGACCTTGGCTTCCAGGTCGAACCAGCCTTGAGTGGGTACTGGGTGCAGTCCCGGGAAGTAAAGGAGGCCGACGTGATGCTGACCACATCACCCATCTTGTGCTGATTGGTCTATAAAATATAGGTCTAGCCCTATATGCCCTTCACAGCTAAAGGCGTTAAAAAGGGTCCTCTTTTTTACATTTTTAGTAGAGATCCCTAGACAGCTGGACAAGGACAGGATCAGCATGGGCAGCTGACTCTCCAAGATGATGTTAACAATCAGAAGATGGCCCTCCAAGTTGATGTTAATAATCAAAAGATTGCTCCCCAAGATGATGTTAAGAATCAGAAGATGGCTCTCCAAGATGATGTTAACAATCAGAAGATGGCTCTCCAAGATGATGTTAACAATCAGAAGATGGCCCTCCAAGTTGATGTTAATAATCAAAAGATTGCTCCCCAAGATGATGTTAAGAATCAGAAGATGGCTCTCCAAGATGATGTTAACAATCAGAAGATGGCTCTCCAAGATGATGTTAACAATCAGAAGATGGCTCTCCTAGATGATGTTAACAATCAGAAGATGGCTCTCCAAGATAATGTTAACAATTAGAAGATGGCTCTCCAAGATGATGTTAACAATCAGAAGATGGCTCTCCAAGATGATGTTAACAATCAGAAGCTGGCTCTCCAAGATAATGTTAACAATCAGAAGATGGCTCTCCAGGCTGATGTTAACAATCAGAAGATGGCTTTCCAGGCTGATGTTAACTATCAGAAGATGGCTCTCCAGGCTGATGTTAACAATCAGAAGATGGCTCTCCAGGCTTATGTTAATAATCAGAAGATGGCTCTCCAGGCTGATGTTAACAATCAGAAGATGGCTCTCCAGGCTGATGTTAATAATCAGAAGACCAACGAAAAATTGATGTAAAGCATGTGTACATTTTCTGCGTATTAAACGCTGTAATGAAGAGATCTAAAATGTCACAAATTATGAATATATGGGCAATAGTGAACACGAATGACGATTACGCAGAAGTCAGAAAAAGACTCGCTTTAACAATACAACACCTGTGAGTGATCTTAAGTAAACTATTGTGAGATCATGCATCTTTCCCATGACTACATATGAATTTGAGCCAAGGACTCTTACTCAATCATTGAAAGAACACAATCTCAGCTTTTGAAATGAAATGCTACAGAACAATTCACGTAATCCCGAGAGGAAGAATAACATTGAAATCCTGCCATGATCTGAGTGTTGAAATAACAGAGTAATTAAAATGCAACGTCCTGTCCTGAAAGCTGAGGAATTTTAGAAAGATGTTAAACGTCATGGTAGCCCGTAGGGAGTGGTAATAGAATGCAGTTTGCAAAAGATGCAGAGGCAAACCTTTATGAAAACAGATACAAGATACTAAAAATGAATTGGCTATGAATGTTTATAAGGCTGTTGAACCTTCTAGAGAAAGAGAGACATTCAGGCCTGCTTTGACTAGAGCTACTTTCTGCAAAGAGTCTTCTCATGGGTAATAATAATAATCTTGTATACCCATAGTGCACTGAGATAAGATTTTTTTCTGCGATCTCCGGCAGCACTTGCAGAACTCAAGGAGATAACACTACAAAATAGAAGCCATATTTAACTCAAGCAACTGCCGAACTGTCTGATTCTGGATACCCATGCTGTCAACTATGTACGTACCTTTGTTAGTGCAGCACCAAACGCAATAAGGACTCGACCCTGTGTAGTACCAAGGGTATGGACAGAGAAGCACAGTAGGGTTTCTCGTCACCACTGTCTGTCAGTCTAGTTTTAACTCAAGAGAGATGCAAATAGCCCCGATTAACTGTTTGTATTTTGTTAACTTTTTCTCTTAAACGGGAGTCCTCATGGGCGGAGCGGCTAGACACTCGCCGTGGATCGGAAGGTTGTGGGTTCGCTACCTTGACAAGCCGGTACTTTTATAAAAATGACCTTGGCTCCCAGGTCGACCCAGCCTTTAGTGGGGTACCGGGTGCAGTCCTGGGAAGTAAAGGTGGCCAGCGTGATGCTGACCACATCACCCATCTTGTGCCGATGGTCTATAAAATAAACGTCTAGCCCTAAATGCCCAGTACGCTTGAAGGCGTGGAAAAGCGTCCTTTACTTATTTTTCTTAAACAATGTCTCTGTAGCTGTACGCAGTTGCGTAGGAAGGAGGAGCGGTCTTAATTGGGTGTCATCACTGGCCTGGGGAAGAGGGGGGGGATTGACGGAGGGTTACACAATGGCAAAATTATGTGTTTAAATTTGTATATATATATTATGAGTGCACATCAAACGTAAGCAACTGTTGAGGCCCTGTTAGGGTAGGTTTTTGACCTATATAATTTGGGTTCGTTATTCAGAGGTGCGTATATATATATACGCACCTCTGAATAACGAACCCAAATTATATAGGTCAAAAACCTACCCTATATACGCACCTCTGAATAACGAACCCAAATTATATAGGTCAAAAACCTACCTAACAGGGCCTCAACAGTTGCTTACGTTTGATGTGCTTACGTTTGATATATATATATATATATATATATATATATATATATATATATATATATATATATATATATATATATATATATATATATATATACACATTTATATATACGCACCTCTGAATAACGAACCCAAATTATATAGGTCAAAAACCTACCCTAACAGGGCCTCAACAGTTGCTTACGTTTGATGTGCACCCATAACCCTTCCGTTGTTTGATTGTTAGGTTTAGCTAACGTCATGGGACATTTGCAACACTCTACTGTGTTTCTACAACTGCTAGTTTATCAATCAGTAGAATACTATTGCAAATCGATGTCGGAGCTGATGGTGTCCCGGCAATATTTGCCGGAAATAAATCCATCCTTATTTACATATCTGTGAGGCCATGTAAGGGTAGGATTTTGAGCTAGATAATTAGGGGCCGTTTTTAGAAGTGTCATATATTTATATATAACAACATTTTTTGCTTACAACATGCAAACCAACACTTCATGGGTCATAAACTCATAAAGAGGCGAACGAAAGAAGAAGAAGATAAACTCATAAAGTGTGTTCAAATCTGATCGCAGTGGTTAGGGTTATGTCCCCCTGGCGTTTGACAGGACACGAATTCAAAACGGCCGTTCGGGTGGTTTGGTATACAGGCGAAAACAAACTCTGCACAAAGACACACAACAGTAGCAATACAACATACAAACACATAATCAGTAGGGACAACATATATCGCAGACACGAACGGGCACTAGAAGCACAGAACGACATAATTAAAACATACATTCCTGATTGTTTCGCTACCCTGAGTGATGAAGACTTTATCCTGTGTCCACAATGGTTTCGTAGTTTCTGGTTCCAGCCTCAGTGTGAACTGTCCAAAAGTTCTTGTGTCATCCTCACTGGACGGCAGGTAGTCACAGAGTGTCTGTAGGTAGGGCAGGTACATATACAGGTGTGTGTAGTCTTGTGTTTGTATATGTGTTTTTTGTGCCTGCACATTTATATGTGAGTATGTGATTTGTGTGTTTGTGTTTCTCTCTCTCTCTCTCTCTCTCTCTCTCTCTCTCTCTCTCTCTCTCTCTCTCTCTGTGTGTGTGTGTGTGCGTGTGCGTGTGAGACTGTGTTTTTAAGAGAGATTATCTGTGGGCATAACATTTAGGACGACTTTGAAAAAAAAACACCTTCTCTCGCATGCGGATTGGAAAGTCTAGAGTTCGCTCCCTGGCGGAGGTAGACTTTTTTCAAAAATGACCTTGACTCTCTGGTCGACCCAGGCTTAAGTGGGTACCGGTTGCAGTCCCGGGAGGTAAAAGCAACTGGTGTGATGCTGACCACATCACCCATCTTATGCCGATTGTTCTATAAAAATATAGTTCTAACCCTATGTGCCTAAAGGCGCGGAAAAGGGAACTTTACTTTTTTATGTTGCTAATGAAACCGATCCAGTAATTAAAATGTATGTCATTAGTTTACCCATTGAAAAAATTATAAATAATACGCAGAACATAGCTAACCATACAAATAATGTTGAAGCCTTGAAGTGACCAAAGATTCACGTTAGTTCCCCAAAGTAACAAATACTAGCACCAAAAAAGCTCGAAATACTTTTACAGAGACTTAATAAACCTTGAATAAATCATGGAAGAGGCAAGAAAGGGGAAAGGGGGGGGGGGCATCCATAAAACCGATGTACAATGAAGTCCAGAAGTGGACAAACAACTGAAACTGTCCCAGAAATTTATAGAAGGTGAACGCTAGGAAAAAAAAAAGAAGCATAGTGGACAACCAGATTTCTTTAGCATGTACTGAGAAAACATTAGTGGACAGTCACGGTGATATGCCAGTGTTGACGTTGTCATGGAGGATCACCTTGTTTAGGACTGAAACATTTATAATTGTGAAAATCGATTTAGTTCTACCCCAACCCACTCAGTATATCTTTATAGCGCAACTTGTGATCTGTCCACAAAGCACGAATTATTCCGGCGACGATTTTCAGTAATTGTCTCAGACACATACACACACGCGCGCGCACACACACGCACGTACGCAAACACGCACACACACATATACACACACGAAAACACACACACACACAAAAGTGCGTGATTGGCACACTGTTTTGTGGTTTGCAGCTATGCTGCGATATCTGTCCCTTTCGGCCTAAAACATCAGATTTGAGCACAGCCCTCATTAGATGTGTTTACGACATGCTACTTAAGGAGCAAGGTGTTAGTACTTCTATCCCCTCCCCCCTCCCCACACAAGGGGAAGCCAGGCAGAGACCATGGAAACGCGGGGCTAGTGGCTAGACGTGATACTTGAGGACATTAACTCTAAACTACGTGACACTAGGCCAAGTGACACTTTACCTTTTTCATGGGTAAATGACGGTTCCGTGAACTAATTTTAAAAAATTATAAGACTTGTTATTGTGACGACACCTAATACAGGTATGGGTAAATTTTACGTTGGTTTCCCTATTTACACACAGCTACACACGAGCTCGCTTCTGATTGGACAACCTACATACCACCTCACTACGGATATGTCAGCCTCGAGCAATCCGACTTTCACACAAGGTCGCGGGGATATTCCGCTCTCGCGCTGATACCGCGTGTTGTATATTTTACCATGCCAGAGCTGTCAACACTTCTAAAACATTTAGATACTAGGTCTAACACACAACCCCCCAAGAGAGTGACAAAACCTATGTCACAGGTCGTCTTTTTCTCGGAAATAAAAACGTAAATACCAGACTTCGACAACTACAACCTCGAGTACGGTAGACTAGTCCAACCAACTTATCACTGGAGTTGACCTACAACTGGTGGTGTGCAAATGGGGAGACCATCGTATAAATAACCCAAGACTTGTAATTGTGACCACACTTAATAAAGGTACGACCTGTTGACAGTCACTAACTAATACACTTCATTCCTATCTTGTCGGTACAACTCACGTTTTTGGGCCAAGAGACGACATGATTGGCCGTTCATTGATGCATCTTAACCTTTCACATGCGCGACTTTCTCTTACAGGGGTGCACCAATGAACGGCCAATTACGGTGTCTCTGGGCCTGAAAACGTGCATTGCATCACCTTGTCTACCAAACAAATTCTGATAAATTAGGGTGACCATATCGTCCTTTTTTTTCGCCGGGGCAGTATTGTTTTCTAGGTGGGCATCAATCCAACACCCCCCCCCCCCCCTTTTTCCCCACCCAACATTTTTTTAATAATTTTTTTTTATATTATTTAATTTTAAAAGTATCGCCATGACGACCAGACCTTGAAAAAAAAAAAAAAAACAGAAGTCTGAGAGCAGTTACCTGGTCTGTGGCCTTCTTGTCTGTCTCAAAAGCCACTATCAAGGAGACTTTGTATTGAGTGACAAGTCTCCAGAGGTCGGTGACGGTGGCCCCAAGTGGTAGTTGAGTCAGGATCTTCTGGTTCTGTTTGACGAAACTCTGGTCGAAAGGCATTAATATTTTGTGTGTGTTAGTTAGAGGACAGTACTTTGTGGTGTGTGTTAGTGGGAGGACAGTATTATGTGGTATGTGTTAGTGAGAGGACAGTACTATGTGGTGTGTGTTAGTGAGAGGACAGTACTGTGTGTTAGTGAGTGGACAGAAATATGTGGTGTGTGTTAGTGAGAGGACAGTAGTGTGATGTGTTTTAGGGAGAGGACAGTAATATGTGGTGTGTGTTAGTGAGTGGACGGTAATATGTTGTGTGTGTTAATTAGAATGTTATGTGTGTTAATGATGTATGTTAATGAGAGGACAGTGGTGTGTCTTAGTCTTAGTCGAGGTTTCAGCTTCACTGTGATCAGTGATTGTCTCACACACACACACACACATACACACACACACGCGCGCGCACACACACATATATACGCACGTACTTCCTACATGATCCGTTCCTCTGCCAGCGAAAATCAAATGAAATGTCTCTACCTCTTTCATTATTTATTTTGAAAAAAAAAAAAAAAGAAAACTACAAACAAAAATAAATTCCTGTTGTCCAGATAATGTGAAGGGGCAAACATAAAAAGTTTTCATAGATTAGCTGTTGTAATTATAGAGAGTAAGGGCTTCAGGGTCTTAGATTTCTCAGGGCCTCACGAAATTTAAATCTGGTCACGATTTTTAGTTTCTTTTTGAGACAACAAACACAACACAGTGATGAACATACCGGCACAAGAACGGCGTTGATGTAATCAGAAGTGTTGATGCTGTCACAGCTGAGCACGGCTCTATACGTCTCCCCTAGAAACATATTTAACACATGGAAAAACGTGAGCGATTCACAAATTTAACAAATCAAACAAATTGATGTGTACAGTTAAAATACTACAAACAAAAAATAAAGAACTTACAATAAAAAAGAAAAAAAAAGAGAGGCACATTAGGGATTAGTTAGGAATACTTTCACAGCACTTTATATAGATCAATAGGTGCTCCCATCTCCTTTTTAACAGCTCCACAGGCGTAAAACGTCTGATGATGCCAGTTCTGTTTTGGTTGATCAAAAGCCTTCTCCCTGTTGTGACAAGATAATTTTTTGCAGCTCCATGTCTATCGGTCTCATTAGGGATACGGACGGAGTCATGGCTTGTGCCGTATTCGTCTTAGTTGCCAGTAGCTATCCAGTGCCTGACTAGCCATAGCAACCACAATGAAAACTGCACTCTCGTTGTCTAGAAGAAGGCAGAGAAATACACCTTGCTCACCTCAAAATAAGCTCCGATCTGAAGCACCCTTTGCACAACATGCTCCTCAAGAAAAAGGGCAATGGGCTTAAAAGGGCAAATCATGGCTGGGTAGGGCAGAGGTTGACATCATGCAGGTTTGCAGCCTTACAGACATCCATCCAGGCGAGGAATGAATACCAGAGTCTAAGGCGCCCAATCTCACATTCTCCTGTGTCGTGACGCTCGATTAGAGTTGTCGGAATCAGAATCCAGCTGCTGTCAGTGCTGAGGTATGCGCGCTTATTAGTGACAAGTCAGATGAGACAGATATGGTGATCTTCACAGACCGGCCCGTTATACGAGGAAATAGGAGTGCCTGGGCATTTACAGCTCGCTTGTCAGGCAGAACAGTCAAGGAAGCCAGCGGCGCCTTCTCCATGACCACCAGCAGCATGACGATGGAGGAGATGGCGGTGACACAAGCTGTCATGAATCACAGGATTATTCCCGCCTGTGAGTGCTGAGCGATTCTTTTAGCATGATCCGGCGGGTCGAGGCAGGCTGGCTACGCAAACAGTGGTTTGGTTATGGCAAAATTCTCCTGTGTGTGCATTTACCTTCATATTCGTCAGAGAGTATGCAGTCGTTGTTGGTAATGAAAGAGCTGATAGACTGGCAGGTGATGCATTAATTGAAGATGGCCGGCCCATGGATCACGCAGACATTGTCATTGCTCTTACAGAGATAAGACGTTCTGGGGATTTTGGAAGCAGTGTGTCCACATCACTGCTAAAAATACGCGAATTGGGAGTAAAGATCGGCGCAGCCAGCACGAGAAGCACACCGGACGCACTAAAAGTCTTGTTAACCAACAAAGGAGTGGCACAATCAACCGCACGACGCTAATGAATATGTTAAGAGGGGAATCTAAGCGCCTATAGATGTGTCCAGAGTGCTGTGAAGATAATTAACTCCTAACCCAAAACCTTGCTCACATTCATTATCTGACACACAGTAAGCCTTGTTTGAGACTGTAGATTAGACTAGCTGTGTTCTTAGTCGTCAATCAGGTACCGTCTCCACATTGAAGGTTGACAGCAATGGATCTCCAACACGCCCTGTTTTTTGTCCTTGTTGTACACTCTATCAGACTGCTTCCCACCCATATCTTGATGTTGCCCTCCAACTTGTATTCAACTGATACTTGAAAGACACTCATCAATACAGTAATAGTTCCAGCAATCTGCTGCTGCCTCTTTACCCTCAACTGCTTTTTCCGCTTAACATCCTCTTTTCTTCTTCCCATTAACTTTCTCCGGTTTATTCTTCCACTGTATCCTCCCCCCATCTTCTTCACCCAGGCAGAATACTTACCCCTATCTTCACTCCTGTTTTATCACTATCAATTCCTATATATTTTCTTTCTCTTCTTCTGGTTGACAGTCTACACTCAGAGAAAAGACATTTAATCAAACTGCTTATGGCAGCATCGGAATTGGAACTCTCTCTCTCTCTCTCTCTCTCTCTCTCTCTCTCTCACACACACACACACACACACACACACACACATACATACATACACGCGCGCGCGTGCGAGCACACACAGTAAAACCAACATAAAGTAAGAAACTCCAACAAATTACACGTCGCCAGAAACGACCTACACCTCTACAACAACTTACTGGGTAGAACGGAGGGCACTCTGTTCTTTTGTATTTTGAGCAGGTTCTGACTGTTCTCGTACACAGAACTTGGACTCTCTTCAGATGTGGCCTCCTCCTCCGCATGATCCTCGCAGATGGAGCAGATCGCCTGATGATACAGACACGTACAACAGACACTTGTACAGTGACAACCACTATTGCAAATTTACAAACCTGAACTCTTAACCAACACATGTTTAGTCTCTTATGCACGTCAGGAGTTTGAGGACTGAGGTTTTGAACAACGGATCAACATCATGGCACACGGGTAGTAACCCATAAGTGATCCATTCTTCTTCTAACTCAAGTCTGAGTCCGAAAAAACTCAGCACAGCGCACATACTCTGTATCACCGGTGAGGATCCTGAAATATGACTAAAATTTTGCCCGGACGGCATCGTTAGGCTACCCTTTTCGATTTCAAAAGGGATTTTTTACTTGCGCAACAATGCACACGTCAGAAGTATCTAGGCATAGTCATTGATGGTCCTGTTGTGTCATTGTATGCCACACAAAGTTCTTAGTCCATCCATCCATTTCGTTCTATCCTGTGTAACCAATTCAATATTATGGAAGGAATCCCGTCCAGTAGCTTTGTCCTTTCTCATCAACGTTCGTTTGAGGGTTTCTTTTTGTGCGTACTGAGCTTCTCAACCCGTTTTTGTTTTTTTCATTTTACTGCCTGTGGTGATTCTCTGCTGAATTCTCGTTGTGTGATATTTTTCAGAGCAGCTTCGGGAAGTGCCACAGTGCGACTCAGAGAGCTTGCTTGTTGTACTCCACCAGGACATCACACAAGCGATAAACACCCGGTGACACAAAGTGCCACCATGCGGATGAGGATCAGCAATGGAGAGATAAAAAACAAAACAAAAAAAAAAACCTTCAGTCGTTATGGCCACATTTGTGGCCCAGCTATATTCAGAGCCCCTGGCAAAAGCCATGGAGGGGCTTCAAAAAACGAAAAATTGTATCCCACAAGGCGACGACTATCTATCTATTTTCTTGTACCCCACCAGGACATCACACAAGCTATAAACAACCGATGACAGAAAGTGCCACCATGTGGATGAGGATCCTCTTCTTCTTCTCTTCCACCTTGTACCTCAGCGAAGTGTCGGGGGGAGATGTAATGTACGTTGATGGGCTCTGTCAAGAGCACTATTAAGACTGATGTTTATTTCTATAAGGCTGTTCCTTATGCCATCACTCCATCTTTTCCGAGGTCTTCCACTCGCTCTATACCCGTTGTAACGTTTTAGTGTGGCTCGCTGTTGCGGATAGTACCAGGGCATTCTTGTTAGGTGTCCAAACCACTTCATTTGTTGTTCTTTGATGACCTGTAAGACTGGCTTTATTCCTAGCATTCGTCTGATTTCATGATTTCGTATTCTGTCTTTCCTTGAAACTCCTGCAGCTCTTCTAAGGCATTTCATCTCTGTTGTCACAATTTTACATTCATTGAAGGATGTAAGTGTAAACGTTTGGCATTGATAGCAAAGTGTTGGCCAAAAAATAGTTCTGATAAGATTCATTTTAGTACTCCGAGGTATCTGCTTGTGTGTCAACAGGGGAGATAGTTGACTAGTTGATTAGCTTTGGCACATCTGGAGCTAATTTCTCTGTCCAGTCTTCTGTCAGATGTAAAAATTGATCCCAAATACTTAAATTCCTCTGTTTGTCCCAGGGTGTTGTTTTTTAATTTAATTATTAAATTGTCTTTATGTCTTCTTATCATCATTGTCTCTGTCTTCGTAGTGTTTATTTCCATATTATATTCCTACCCTTTGTTATTAATTTGATTTAGGTGGTTCTGTAGGCATTCCGTATTTTCTGCTATGAGTACCTGGTCGTCGGCGAAAAGTAATTCTGTAATATCTTCTTCATGATTAAAGTTCGTTTCGCTACATAGGGTATCCATGTATGTTACAAAAAGAAGCGGCGATAGTACACAGCCCTGACGCACACCAGAGTTCGCTATAACAGTGGATAAGGATCACTGTGCAGAAATTACAGAAACCGCCTTCATCCATTAGATCATATTTATGGCCAAACTATATTGTGGCTGCTGGCAAGAGCCAGAGTAGGGCTTTAAATAAAAAAAAATTGCATCCCACAAAGGGATGGCAAGACAATGTACGGTCCCACCTAGGCGACGACTATATAGTAATACCTCAGATATGACCCGTTTGGAAAAAAAAAAATCAAAAAATTACATTATGACTATTAAGCTTATGAATTTTTTTATAGATCACTTTAAATATTTCCATAGATGAGATTAGGATTATCATAACTGTAGGGGGGAAAAGGGGCGGGGTGGGCTGTTGGAGTGGCTGAGTGGTCTCGATGCATAGCGTCCTCCTCGAGGGCTGGAGCTCCCAGATTCAGGCCCCGGTGAATTCTGGGATCTTTTCAGGTGGACTTCTAGTAATTTTCCCTGCTCTCTGTAGTAAGTTCGGAGGCCGGTGTGTATTGCTTCGCACGTAAAAAAAATCCCTTGGCAGTTGGAAATCAAAGGAATAGCCTGACGGCGCTGCGGAGGAAAAATTTAGTGTTGAAAATCTAACATAGGTATTTCAGGATTCTCGCCGGTGCTACGGAGTTCGTGCACTGCGCTGAGAATCTTCGGACTCAGGCATGAGTTAGAAGTAGAACGGAGCACTTATGGGTTACTACTCCTGTGCCATGATGCTGGTCCATTTTATAAAATATAAACTAAATTAAACTTTCATAACTATATTAAAGAATATAAAATTAATCTATCTATACATCTACAGTCTATTACAATTAATGTAGAATATATTCAATATTAAATAACCACATAATTTATAAGCACAAATATTCATTACTGTACCAAAAAATGATTCCACCTCCTACTCTGGCTTTTGCCAGGGGCCGCAATATAGGCAGGCCATATATGGCCAAATGTCTGAACGCGGTTTCTGGGACCTCTCCACGGCGATCCTCATCCACATGGTGGCACTTTGTGTCATCGGGTGTTTATCGCTTGTGTGATGTCCTGGTGGGGTAGAAATTCAGTTCAGTTCAGTTCCACTTCCTCCCATGTCTCCTCATACCCTTATGGGATGCCATGTTTTGGTTATTTTGAAGCCCCACCATGGCTTTTGCCGGGGTCCCTAAACGTAGCCGGGCCTGAAATATGACCTAACGGGGTTTCTGGGACCTCTCCACTGTTATCCTCATTCGCATGGTGGCACTTTGTGTCACCGGGTGTTATCGCTTGTGTGATGTCTTGGTGGTGTACAACTTACACACATAATACTAACCCCCCCCCCCCCTACCCTCTCCCACCCCAACAAACAAACCTATCTAAATTGTAACCAAGATAAAATTCCTACTAGTACAACAATTACTACTATTACTACTACTACTTCTACTACTACTACTACTACTACTACAACAACAACAACTACTACTACTACTACTACTACTACAACAACTACTACTACTACTACTACTACTACTACTACTACTACTACTACTACTACTACTACTACTACTACTACTACTACTACTACTGCTACTACTACTACTACTATTACAACAACTACTACTACTACTACTACTACTACTACTACTACTACTACTACTACAACTACTGATATACTACTACTACTACTACTACTACTACTACTACTTCTACTACTACTACTACTACTACTACTACTACTACTACTACTACTACTACTACTACTACTACTACTACTACTACTATTACTACTGATGCTGCTGCTGCTGCTACTACTACTAACTAGTATCTGGCATTTATTGCTGGTGTATTACCTGAAATTCTGTCTGCAGCTTTGTTGGTCCAAACTTTGACTTGGCCTCGAGTGTGGGGATTCTTTGCTCGACGTCTGCTAGTGTCACAGAGGTGCCAATACAGGACATGGCAACATGGGCTGCTCGGTGTAGAAATATGTACTGATTCTGAAACGCAAAACCAGGATTCTTTTCATGAGTCTTATTGTAGTTTTAATGACTCTTCTATGACAATCTCTGCCAGGATACTTTTCATGAGTCTTATCATTGTTTTAATGTCTCTTCTATATAACAGTGTCTGTCAGGATACTTTATATGAGTCTTATCATAGTTTTCGTGTCTGTTTCATAGGACAATGACTGCAAGGATACTTCTCATGATTCTTATCATAGTGTTTGTGTCTTTTCTATAGGACAATATCTGCAAGGATACTTCTCATGATTCTTATAATAGTTTTAGTGTCTCTTCTGGGACTATCTCTGCCAGGATACTTTTTATGAGTCTTATCATAGTTTTAGTGTCTTTTTTATAATGCAGTGTCTGTCAGGATACTTTAAATGAGTCCTATCATTGTTTTAGTGTCTCTTTTATAGGACAATGATTGCAAGGATACTTCTCATGATTCTTATCATAGTTTTAGTGTCTCTTCTATAGGACAATGTCTGCAAGGATACTTCTCATGTTTCTTATCATACTTTTAGTGTCTCTCTTATAGGACAATGACTGCAAAGATACTTCTCATGTTTCTTATCATAGTTTTAGTGTCTCTTCTATGGGATAATGACTGCACGGATACTTTTGTGACGTGACGCGTGGTTTAAATGTTTATGTTGTTGAGTAGGGATCTTCCTTTCAACACATTCTCTCCACTAGATAAACCGAACTAAAATCTGAGCTATGTTGCTCTCAGACAAAGTCCTGGATATCCAAGAAAACAGCCATATTGGCTCGTTAAGTATATTAACATTAGCTGAACTTGGTACCCACAAGAGAAGGCAAGGAATTTTAGATGTCTAACATACTAAATGAATTATTAGACAGGGCAAGTGATTCCTTCGTCATCTACCTTCTCCCGGTGTTATTATTAATAATTAAAGAATTATTATCATATTATATGAGCCCCCACCAAATGTTATTCTATCCTAACAGTTTAATTAAACATGTAAGAACAGACATTTGGAATTTAACAAACTATGTAGTTTAAAACTTGACATACAGCTTTATTTACTACAATGAAATTCCCAGTTTGTTGATTTACACAAACAGTGACTGGTTAATGAAAGTGATACGCTTCAGCGAGACAAACAGCTCGGGGTTTAGAGTGGTATGATAATGATGATAAAAGGTTAACATAAAGGGGTTAACTCAACTTATAAGCCTCTGACAGCCGTGAGGAACTGTCAAGCTTGTCCAACTCTTCCTTGCCTGTTGTCTGCCTGTTTCAGCTTATTCTCCACTTCATCCCCACCTCGTTCTCCACATCGTTCTCCACCTCGTTCTCCACCTCGTTCTCCACCTCGTTCCCACCTCGTTCCCAGCTGGCCGAGTCTAACACAATGTAGGCTACTTCATGGACTGATCGTCACATGGGCGCTGTTGTCTGCCTGTTTCAGCTTATTCTCCACTTCATCCCCACCTCGTTCTCCACCTCGTTCTCCACCTCGTTCTCCACCTCGTTCCCACCTCGTTCCCAGCTGGCCGAGTCTAACACAATGTAGGCTACTTCATGGACTGATCGTCACATGGGCGCTGGGAACTTTTCCATCTATCGCCAAACCAGAGTACGACAGTAAAATATACCTTTACGTCGACCTGTTTGTTTGCCGGCAGGCTGCGATTAATGACGGGAATTCCACAGGCTCGAAGTATAAGTATCAATCTATTGTCCAAATTAAACTCCTCCCTTCCCTTAGTTTTTACCCAACCCTCAAGATGATGGCTTAAGCTCCGCCTCCGGAGTACCTATCAAATCAAATTGGCTAACCAGTGACCTGTCACTCACAGTGAACGGCCTACAGTACGACCTTGACCAAGATAAAACATTCCTAATTGCCAAACACCTGTTCTCCCCAGAATTACACTGACGTGTTAAACTTTAAACTTCTCGTCGCCTCTTTGTCTACAGTCCGCTCAATTCGTGTTAGGTAATCTTTTATGACCTACGGTCCAGCTCAGGTGTGATGCTAAGTTCCCCGTTCGCTGGCCTCTACAGTCTGTGGTCAGGAGATAACATTCTGACACTGGCATGAGAATAGAATTCCTAGCTACAGTGTAAAGTTTTAGGTAATATTACCCAAGGTTCAGTCGCTTTGTCTGGACTAAGGACTGGAAACGTTTAAATCAATACGGTTTAAAGTAACATTTGGTTTAAGGGCAGGGTCTCTTGTCTCTCAATAACCAGAAGAACTTATTACAAGTACTAACTTCTGGAATCACTGAGATCGTTTCGTGGCAGGCCCTCCGTTAAGTTGGTCGCAGCCACTAAGACCAATTTTACGATACTCAGTGATTCCCAAGAATGTTAGTACAACCTGTCATCTCCAGTATTGTTCCAGTATTCCTTGTGGAATCGTGATGTCCTGCATCGATGTACAGTCACCAGTTGTCCCTCATTCCAGACTAAGTCCTTAGTCCTAGAATCATGCGTGTATTCTGAGCAGCCGCTCAGTAATATCCATTTATCTGGAGGTTTCTTCTCCCGCCGGATAAGAAATGATCTCCGTTTCAACAATGAGATTCCTCGACATCGTTGATTGACACCCCCTGGCCATTTCCTCACTTCGCCACGCCCTATGAGCATACGGAGGGCCTGAAGTGCTCTCCGAAAAGGATGAGTTGTAGTCAGGTAGGATTTTCTTTTCCTACATCTACAGATCCTGAAAAAATATGTCACTAATCTCCTCTCAAATTGAGGGATATAGTCACTCATCATGACAGCATGCCGTGAGTGCAACTGACCACTGCCGATTTCTTGAAGGAGTGTCCACTGGTTTCCTCCTCGGTGCATCCTATCTGTTTTACAAATTGTCCGGGTGGAATTCTCTTTCATTAAGATCAGTCCAGAATCAGAGCACGAAATCAAGTCAGGGGGTACAGTCAAATCATTAGGAAACTCAGGGTTTCCTGCAGACAATAAAGTGGCATTTCTTCGCAATGAAGTTTCCACTATCAGCTGAGATACCCCTGTCACTTCCTTCGAAGCGAAGAGTAATACAAGACCAGAATGTTGGGGTTCCCTACTATTTATGGCTTGTTCCGCTTCAGGGTCCTTCATCAGAAGTATCCCTGTCGCCCCAGCTGTACAGGATAGAGACAGTTTGTCTCCCTGCACACAAGAAGTACCTTCTTCTTCATTAATGGCAAACATTTCTGTCTTTCCAGTATCAGAGTGCACAGGACTTGCAGCAATGTCCTGTTTACTCACTGTCTCTAAGGTCGTCAAAACTTAAGAGAACTATCCTCCTTATCTGTTATCTCCGCCCTGGTCTGGCTTTCACATACCAAGTCTAGTGGAGGCAAATAAGGGGATTTGTTGCGGCCATAACAGTCAACTACTTTGGGCGAAAAGTCAGAACTAACTATTTCTATTTTGTATGCAATCGCATCAAGTGAAATAGGGGAAACAGGTTTAGTGTTATTCCCTACATTAGTCTGCTTTACTTCTTCTTCTTGTTTGGAAGGACCAAAGGGATTATGGGAGTTGGGTAAGTCTTTGCCCTCGTCCTCATTAATGGCTGGTGTGCCAGTCGAACCAGTATGTCGACGGTCAGAACAGTTATCACGCTTGTGATTACTGCGGGGTGTGCTCTCATATATCTCATCTGAGATAATGGGAGTAAGGGGTTCCAGCAATGTAGATCTGGTCCCTTTTGAAGATTTCTGTTTCTTACTCCATCTTTTCCTTTTAGGCTTAAGAATGGAAGTAAAGGGGGCCAGCAATGTAGATCCGGTCATCCCTACAGAAAAGTTCTTCTTAATGTCAGCTCTGTCCTTATTAGGAATAAGAGGGGTGAGGCAAAATCTTGGGTGGTCTAATACTTCATCACTTGATGAGGTACCGTTTGGCAAAATAGTACACACCTCTCCATTGAGAGAGTGAGTCCCAGACCTTTCTACCAGAGTGTCAGTATGGGAGTTGTCAGTTCCCTCAACTACCCTAATAGTGTTCTCACCGTTCCCTGTGTCTAACTGCAGTTCTCTCTTCGTCTGCCTAAGTCGATAGTTATGCAGCTTTTCTTTAAAAAGCCTCATTCTTTCACTAGCTGCCTCCTCTAGGAGTTGCAACTTTCTAGCATCTTCTTCTTCTTCAATTTGCCGCATTCTCTCTTCTTCTTCCCTCTCCGCTGCATGACGGGCAAGCATCGAGTCATATTCTTCTTTCTCTAACTTTCGCTTCTTCTCTGCAGCATTACGGGCACTCATGTAATCGAAAGTATCCATATGGCCTTTAACAAATGATTCTAACTGTGCCCCTACTCTACCCTCAGCTATCCCGCACTTCCTTACATCTTTCTGAAACTCGGTGCGTAAGTCCATTCTATCTATTAGATCTATCTAGAGATAAATAAAATACTACCCCGAGTCCAGATTAGAAGAATATATCAGAGCAAGGTAAACTGGGCAAGAGAGTAGCCTATGACAGCCGCACAAAGATGTAAATGAATCAAAGTTGCCTACCAGACTGACAGCTTATAGAATATTTTAGCAGCACAGAGGATACACCAATAAATGATATGATGTGATTTTACATTCAGTCACTAAGCATAAGTATCAATTATATGATGTCAACATATAATGCTCTACAATCTATATCAAATTATGAAACATGCAAGCAAATATAATAATCATCAACATTAAAATTTACTAAATAAACAATAATCAATGGTTATGAAATGATCAATGATAAGACATGATACTATCCATTTATTGATTTTAGTAAAAAGTTATTTATTACTTTGTAATCTCTCCCCATGTATAAATTACTAATTTTAATTTAGACTATACTGGCAGAAGAGTTAAAGTTAAATTTTAAAAATTTACTTTCATTAGTCTAGGAGTAATTAGCCCAGTCCAAATCTCGGCGAGCTCGCCAGTGTGACGTGACGCGTGGTTTAAATGTTTATGTTGTTGAGTAGGGATCTTCCTTTCAACACATTCTCTCCACTAGATAAACCGAACTAAAATCTGAGCTATGTTGCTCTCAGACAAAGTCCTGGATATCCAAGAAAACAGCCATATTGGCTCGTTAAGTATATTAACATTAGCTGAACTTGGTACCCACAAGAGAAGGCAAGGAATTTTAGATGTCTAACATACTAAATGAATTATTAGACAGGGCAAGTGATTCCTTCGTCATCTACCTTCTCCCGGTGTTATTATTAATAATTAAAGAATTATTATCATATTATATGAGCCCCCACCAAATGTTATTCTATCCTAACAGTTTAATTAAACATGTAAGAACAGACATTTGGAATTTAACAAACTATGTATTTTAAAACTTGACATACAGCTTTATTTACTACAATGAAATTCCCAGTTTGTTGATTTACACAAACAGTGACTGGTTAATGAAAGTGATACGCTTCAGCGAGACAAACAGCTCGGGGTTTAGAGTGGTATGATAATGATGATAAAAAGTTAACATAAAGGGGTTAACTCAACTTAAAAGCCTCTGACAGCCGTGAGGAACTGTCAAGCTTGTCCAACTCTTCCTTGCCTGTTGTCTGCCTGTTTCAGCTTATTCTCCACTTCATCCCCACCTCGTTCTCCACCTCGTTCTCCACCTCGTTCCCACCTCGTTCCCAGCTGGCCGAGTCTAACACAATGTAGGCTACTTCATGGACTGATCGTCACATGGGCGCTGTTGTCTGCCTGTTTCAGCTAATTCTCCACTTCATCCCCACCTCGTTCTCCACCTCGTTCTCCACCTCGTTCTCCACCTCGTTCTCCACCTCGTTCCCACCTCGTTCCCAGCTGGCCGAGTCTAACACAATGTAGGCTACTTCATGGACTGATCGTCACATGGGCGCTGGGAACTTTTCCATCTATCGCCAAACCAGAGTACGACAGTAAAATATACCTTTACGTCGACCTGTTTGTTTGCCGGCAGGCTGCGATTAATGACGGGAATTCCACAGGCTCGAAGTATAAGTATCAATCTATTGTCCAAATTAAACTCCTCCCTTTCCTTAGTTTTTACCCAACCCTCAAGATGATGGCTTAAGCTCCGCCTCCGGAGTACCTATCAAATCAAATTGGCTAACCAGTGACCTGTCACTCACAGTGAACGGCCTACAGTACGACCTTGACCAAGATAAAACATTCCTAATTGCCAAACACGTTCTCCCCAGAATTACACTGACGTGTTAAACTTTAAACTTCTCGTCGCCTCTATGTCTACAGTCCGCTCAATACGTGTTAGGTAATCTTTTATGACCTACGGTCCAGCTCAGGTGTGATGCTAAGTTCCCCGTTCGCTGGCCTCTACAGTCTGTAGTCAGGAGATAACATTCTGACACTGGCATGAGAATAGAATTCCTAGCTACAGTGTAAAGTTTTAGGTAATATTACCCAAGGTTCAGTCGCTTTGTCTGGACTAAGGACTGGAAACGTTTAAATCAATACGGTTTAAAGTAACATTTGGTTTAAGGGCATAGTCTCTTGTCTCTCAATAACCAGAAGAACTTATTACAAGTACTAACTTCTGGAATCACTGAGATCGTTTCGTGACAACTTCTTAGGATTCTTATCATAGTTTTAGTGTCTCTTCTATAGGACAATATCTGCAAGAATGCTTCTCACGATTCTTATCACAGTTTTAGTGTCTCTTTTAGAGGATAATGACTGCACGGATACTTCTCATGATTCTTATCATAGTTTTACTGTTTCCTTTATAGAACAATGTCTGCACTGCAGTTATTTTTTGCTTTTCTAGAATTGGTGCCGTTTTCGTGAATCCTGTGATAAACCCAAGTTTGATTTTGCTCTCTGTCTAACGATTGTGGATAGGAATTAGCAGCTAATGACCAAGTGTTGCATCAAACTTCAAGCGGGGTCTTGTTGTTCCATTATAAACCTTTTTTTAGTGTCTTTACGTTTGCACCCCAGCTTGCATCTGCCTAGTTGTCTTCTGGCTTTCCCTTCTGCATTTTCTATGTATTTGCTCAAAATGAGCTTTTTATCAAATGTTACTCCGAGATAAGTGGGGAAGCTTTCTTCTATTAGCAATGAATAAACTAAAAATTAAAAGAAAATTTAAAAAAAAAAAAAAAATACAGTATTAGTTTTGCTATATGTAAGAATAAATTACAAAAAATAGAATCACTTCTCAAATGTTGCTGGCACCTTTCCTTTTTTTTTAGTGGATTTGCTATACTGTGTTTTAGGATGCATAGTGATTCTTTAACTTAATTAGATAAAGCCTTGGCAGCATTGTAGCTACTATGTGTTGTCCAAGTATTACTATTCCCTCTTTTCGGACTCAGACTTGAGTAAGAAGTAGAAAGGAGCACTTATGAGTTACTACCCGTGTGCCATGATGTTGATCTGTTGTTCAAACTTTAAACCTCTTGGTGCCGTATAAGACCAGGAATGAGGCATGTCATCAGCTTGGGATTTAGGTCCTCAGGCCCAGTGCAGTCAACGTAAAAGGACAGGGTTAGAAAATATCTACACCCCTTACTGAGATTTAAACTCGGGCCTTCCACACGAGAGCCCCATGCTCTAACTACTCAGCCAGACAGGTTTTTTAAGGTCTTTTTCTTCTGCTTTTCATTGTCCATTTTTTATGTGTGTATGTGTGTGTGTGTGCTGCCTAGAAGTTACAGACATGATCGGTATCTGATCTAGAGCCCAGTATACTGTGATGTTATGCAGTCTCACAGTATCACTCTCCTTCAACCCATATTCTTCTTGGTCGTCCCGACATCTTGGTCTTTCTACTTTCATATTAATAAACAGAGGGTGAACTTTATAGGCCGTAAAACTTTTATATATAACAAACAAAAAGAAATGTATTGAACGGCTCTCATAGAAAGAAGTCAAAGTGTACTCTTGTTTCCTTCTGTCGTTCTGCTTCTTTCTATAAAAGCCGATCAATACATTTTCTGTTTGTTTATTAAATAAAATACTAATTTCATGTTGTACGCTATCGTGCTGCCATCTTTGGATACATTCTCATTAAATGATCAGACCAGTTCAGTCTTCGTTTCTCCGAGAACTTAATTACATTTGTTCTTATAACAGTTCTTATAATGTCTTCATTTCTCACATAATCTCTGCCAGTTTTATCCATGGCCTGTCTCACACATTTCATTTTCGCATATGGTCGGTTTACTTTTGTGTTCTGTATCCACACATTTTATAACCTTAGACTTCGGACTGGACACTGTGGTCTTCGAGCACACCTGTACAGGATAGGCATAAAAGAATCTGCTGCCTGTGATTGTGGATCAGAAAGACAGACCCCTGAGCACATACTGCAGTAATGCCCTAACCTCTCCTAGCAAAGACTGTGGATCTGGCCAAGGGGATCCACATTGCAAGAGAAGCTATGGGGAACCGGTGGCGACCTTAAACGCACAATCCTATTTTTGACCCAGACGGGACTCAATGTGTAGCATGACTGATGTCGAAGGCAAAGGAAGAAGAAGAACCTGAGATATTTGTAGATGATATTGTTACAAGTGAAGTTGAACATCTACCTACCACAGTCTGCACCATGTTGACCCTGTCCTGCCTCAGTTTGCGCACTGTGTTGAAAAAGTCCATGTGACCCGTCTCTTCTGCTTCTCTCATGACGTTCCTTAACGCTATGAATGTTCCAGTGCGACCCACACCAGCGCTGTTGAGGAGAAAACAAGATTTCTGTCGAATTGTACATACAATTACATGAAAGCTGCAATATTTTGTGTCTGCCATGGGGTGATCTGGATATGTGTAGCCGTGTCTTTACACACACAACATACACATATAAACATACACAGATCACACACGCACACCCATACACACACTAGCACACACACATATAATCACGCGCACAACACTCACACTACTACACACACTCACACGCACGCCTGCACACACTGGTGCTCGCGCACACAGTCACACACACAAAACGCACACTCACACTAAAAAACTTCTAATTTAAAAAAACAAAAGTTACATGTTAATATTTCGTGCTGACAATTTATGTTGCATTAAGTACGGTTTGCATTAATTAGCATTGTTTCATGTTCCTGTCTGTAGAATGAAAGATGTCCAGTGACCTCAACACTTTCGCTAACATAGATCTGACTTTGAGCTTTTTATTATTTGCCCCGAGTTCCACGCTTCATTTAGATATACAACGCAAAATACCTTGACCCAAACAAAAGCAGTGAAGTCAACAAACTACGAAGGCGCTAAAATAACCCAGCATGGTACATATTGTTAGGACGCGTGGCGCGAGTCTAAAGGGTTCTACTTTGCTGTAGGGGTGTTCCTTCGCCTCCTCTGTCTACAAACACCGTGCCGGGAAAAGCAACTCCCTTTGGATCGAGGCCCGACACGAAAGTTTCGAGGTTTCTTTCATGGCAGGTGACATTGAGCGACTGGGTTAGTTTTACGGGTACTTAATTTATAACTTACCCCTGACGTCACGACAACGTCACGGGAGACATTCCCAATAAATTCTAGGGTGTTCAGGATGAAGTTTCTAGCGATTTATCTACATCCAAGTTTAGGGTGAGGGTTAGGGTTAGGGTTAGGGTAAAAATTAGGGTTAGGATTAGAAGACACTAGATGAACACTCCTTTAAATAATGGACTGTCAGGTCAGCTGTGGATTTCCCACGGGGATTTCGTGTTTGGGGTACGTTATAAATTAAGAACCGTTTTACAATAGTCTCCTCAGAGAAAGTAGGTCACGTTCCATTAATAACTTTGTTGGACTAGTCTACCTTGCTGGACGTTACGGGTGTGCCGCTCTGTTGTTTGCTTTCTGGGATGTCTTGCATTTACGTTTTTATTCCGAGAAAGAGAATACATGTGATATAGGTTTCACCCCTCTCTAAAGGAGTTTTGTTTTAGACCCAGTTTGTCAATGTTTTTAGAGTGTTAAAAGCGCTGGCATGCTGAAATATAGAACACGCGATATAAATGGCATTATGTAACACCCCCGTCACCTTGTGACAAGGGCGCATAGCTCAAGGTTGACCAATTAGAAATGAGCTATGCCAAAGGTCGACCAATCAAAAGTGAGCTAGTGTGTAGATGGGAGAACAATGTTATTTTTACCAGCGACTGTTGTTCTGTGTTTCTTTCTGCGAGCAAGGCTTCAACCAGTTCTCTCGTCTTTCTCAGCTACGTCTCTTCTGCAAACGTCACTGGTATGAGAACTGGTGCAAATGACCTTATGGATAGGGAACGGCTTGACAGAACAATAAAGCCACTCTGCTTGTCACTCACCAATGCTGACAGTAGAAAGACATTCATGTTGAAGATCATGTCGCCAACTGACGCCGCAATGATAGCAATGAAGAGCCAACACACGCTGCAAGCAGCACTAGGAGTGCCTGCTGCTGACGACGTGCAAAAATATAATGCTTATAGCGTCAAAAATAACAAAAAGTGGCACCCCTAGAACATACCACAGCCTGTAGGAAACTCGCGCCCCGTGAGATGAGGGCATCTTCTTGATATGTACCCCAAGCGTAATTTTCGTTTCCCGCGGTGTGCGATTTTCGTGATTTGCTTAGGAGACTCACGCCATGGAAGATATGAAGCCTCACCACATAATATTACCAAAGACAGTTGTGGTACATGGTTGTCAACCTTCATTGTTTATTTGCTACACTATGAAAAGACCTGCAGGCGGGGGTAACACTACAGCAAATCTCTACTGTATAGAAGTGAGCAGGGCTACACGCCAGTATCAGAAAAACATGCGACATATCTCATAAATGCCAAACGAAGCTTAAAAATATAATCGACTTTATGTATATATATATATAAATTTTAAAATGCATAATGAAATCTCAGTAAGTAACCAGCTCAACACATCTGGTTTCAGGTTTGGTTTGAACAACTGATCAACATCATGGCACACGGGTAGTAACCCATAAGTGCTCTATTCTTCGAACTCAAGTCTAAGTCCGAAGAAGCTCAGCACAGCGCAGATGCTCTGTAGCACCGGCGAGGATCCTGAAATACTTTAGGTAGAGTTTTAACTCTTAATTTTGCCAGGGCAGCGACGGTAGGCTACTTTTTTTTATTTCCAACTGCCAACGTATTTTTTTACGTACGCAACAATACACATGGGTGTCTGATCTCACTACCCAGGCACCAGGGGGAATTACTAGAAGTCCACGTGAAAAAATCCAAACTCTTGCCGGGGATTGAGCCTAGAACCTCTAGCACTCGAGGTTGACACCATGTATCGAGACCAGGCAGCCCCTTCTCCAACACCTTTGATAAGGCTGAAAGTAAAATAAGAAAATAACGGAACAATACCTCAATTATAACAAAAACAAAAGTAATGGGAGAAACCCAGCGACTTTAACATAGCTAGCTGGAACCAACCTGCAGTGGACTACAATAGGTTTGTTGGTTAGATAGGAAGCCACCCTCTGCTCGAAGTCGACCAGACCCCAAGGTACAGTGGGTATATCCTTATCTGGCCAGGCGGTGAAGTGAAACTGGATCACATCCCTCAGTGGCTCAACTCCCTGCAACAGTTAGTCACCTCTCTGATCAGTTGAAGCAATGATTGATTAATTACGCTGATCAATTAAAACATTCATTGATTAACCTCCCTGATCATTTCAATAAATCATCGGTTAACTTCGTTGATTAGTTCAAGACATTATTTGCAAATCCCTTTAATAAGTTCAGGCAAAATTTTTTAATCCATTTTATCAGTTCAAGAAATCAATTGTTCACCTCTCTGATAAGTTCGAGCAATCATTAGTTAACCTCTCATAAGTTCAGGCAATCATTTATTAACCTCTATGATCTTTTAATGACCGGTTAACCTCTCTGATCAGTTAAAAAAATCACTGTTGAAATCTCTGATCAGTTCAAAAAAATCACTTGTTAACCTCTCTGATCATTTAAAAAAAATCAATTGTTAACCTCTCTGATTAGTTAAAAATATCAGTTGTTAACCTCTCTGATTAGTTAAAAAATCACTTGTTAACCTCTCTGATCAGTTCAAAAAATCACCAGTTAACTTCTCTGACTGGTTAAAAAAATCACTGGTTAACGTCTCTGATCAGTTTAAAAAATCACCGGTTAACCTCTCTGATCTGTTCAAAAAATGACCGGTTAAACTCTCCGATCCGTTCAAAAAATGACCGGTTAAACTCTTTGATCAGTTTAAAAAATCACTGTTTAACATCTCTGATTAGTCAAAAAGTCACTGGTTGACCTCTCTGATGATCAGTTCAAAAAATCACTGGTTAAACTCTATGATCCGTTCAAAAAACGACCTGTTAAACTCTCTAATCAGTTCAAAAAATCACTGTTAAACCTCTCTGATCAGCTCAAAAAATCACTGGTTAAACTCTATGAAAAGTTTTTTTTTTTTTTTAATTACCGGTTAATCACCCTGATCAGTTAAAAAAAATGATTCCTTTGTTATCCTCTCTGATAAGCTCAATAAAAATTGGTTAACCTGTCTGAGCACTTTATTTTAAACCTTTACTGTTGGAGTAAACAGAAGTTAAACACTGTTCTGAACCAAGAACAGTTCACTCTAACCTCATGCTACTGCCCCTGTATGGAGGAGAAACACAAAGAACCATTAAAGTATCTACTGATAAACTGTCCACATTCATTTAATGCTGAAAAGAATTCAATAGTTCAACAGAATCACAAATTTGGTTTTATGGCTGAGAATGATACAAATTCCAGTAAATATAATTAGCACACACACACACACACACACACACACACACACACACACACACATACACACCTCAAATACACACACAAACACACACACGAAAGAACTGAGTATCTGGAAATGTGGATATACACAAGAATAGGTGGTATTTCGTTGGAGGGTTGGGGTCAGGGGGGGGGCGGTGAAACAAATGCAGAAGTTCTGAATGAAAAGAGAGTTACCTAAATCAATTTAGAGAGAGAGAGAGAGAGAGAGAGAGAGAGAGAGAGAGAGAGAGAGAGAGAGAGAGAGAGAGAGAGAGAGAGAGAGAGAGAGAGAGAGAGAGAGAGAGAGAGAGAGAGAGAGAGAGAGAGAGAGAGAGCCCAAATAGTTTGGACGTATTAAAAGAAATAAAAAAAGAAAGGTAAGTTGCGTATCCTTTAGAGGATGTTGCAGAATCAACCCAGTTGTGTGTGTGTGTGTGTGTGTGTGTGTGTGTGTGTGTGTGTGTGGCTGTTGTGGTTTTTCTAGACAAATGTTGCTTTCAACAAATCCTCATTGCCCCCGGACGGTTGGCGCCCTCGATATCACTGTCGAAACTAACGCAAGACGGTCTGCTGCCAAAAAGCCTGGAGCGGGGATCGAACCCACCACTCTGGCATTAAGAAGCGCATAGGAAAAGTCTAAACCACATACTCCTTTAAAACCCATACTAGAGGGAAATGTCTAGGGCAAGAGCAAAGGTAACGATACAAGTGGGATGACAATATCAAGAGATGAACGAACAGCAGTCTGAGAGCGTTCATAACCAAGGCAAGAGACAGAGCGTGTTGTAGATCATTTGCAGGCAACCTTTATTGTGGAGACGGCACCTAAACGATTAAAGGAAGCAGGTCCTGGATAGAATAGACAATGAGAAAGCCTAATATTAATATAACTAGGCTGTACTTGCACTGGAACCTACTGGTAGGCACGGTGGCACTACGTAATATTTTGGCGAGGGGATTTTGTCGCGATATAATTTTCAAGGGAGCAGGGTTCAAGGGTTTTAAGCATTGTTTAAGTGCGTAATTATAACAATAATAATGTGCTGAATGGCAAATAAATATTTAACACATTTTTTTAAATAATTTGAAATGTATAAACAAATACTTAACATGTAAGTCTTTACATGTTCAATGTTGTATATTGGATTTTGAATTAGGAATCGACATCACTGCACTCGAAACACCCCATAAGCGCTCCGACATTTACTTCAGCAGCCAGCGATGAGTTACAATTTCAATGGCACCAGTAACTATGATTGTATATTATTCTCGCCTTTCCCTGAGTGTTGAGTGTCGGACAGATCACCTTGTAACTCCTCGCAATGCCATTATCCTCAGACCGTATAGATCTGTGTCTCGGCACTGTTGACTCGCTCCCAAAGGGCCCTCACAACATCCATTTTGTCATACATCAGTTTACCACCAGGTCTTTACTTGGTTAGGGGATCCCTTATTCCCATAGCAAGTTAAAGGGACTGATACTAGGATTCCATCTCCCCAATATACACACGAATCATGTTTTAATGTTGAGGTGCACAATACTTAAGGACCTACACATTTTCTGTGTAGTTTATCGGCGAGCAGGATGGGTTCAAGGTGATTGGGGCCCCAAGTTTCAGCACCGATACCTATGAGACCGTTATGTGCAAGAAAAGGCTTTGAAAGACCTGAAATCAGAGAAACAAACCAAAGAACCCCAACCATGAAGTCTTAGCTAAATATACCCCCCACCCCCTCCCCCAAACGAAGACACCAAATCAAAGAACTTCAGCTAAAGACCCCAACCTAAGAACTCTTAAAAGAGAACCTCAGCCAAACAGCTTAAGCCAAATAGCTCCAACCAAAGAACGCCAACCAAAGAATCTCAGTAGGACAGCTTCAAACAAAGAGCTCCAAACAAAACAGCCAAAAAAATAGAACCACAATCAAAAAACCCCAACCACACAACCCCGACAAAGAAACCACAACCATAAAGCCCCACCCAAATTACCCTAACCAAAGAAACAAATTAAAAATCCCCCCCCCCTCCCCCCCCCCCCCAAAAGAAAATCCATGTTGGGGTTCTGTGGTCTCATTCTGGGAAAAGGGGAGGGGGGGGGGGTTGGAACGATAATAGACCCACTGTCTCTCCCATGAGCATCATGTCATAAGAGTCGACTAACTGGGAGCCTTTTTCGAAGTTATGAGTACATCTGCCTGAGAAGCAAGGGACCAACATAAAAATAGGTCAAATCAGTAAAACAGATTTGCATGCAACATTCAATTCCGCCGGGGTTACAGCCGATTAAAGTGAGTAAGAAGAAGAAAAGAACTGCAATTAAAGAACAACAACCAAAAAGTTTCAGCTAAAGGGCCCCGACCTTTCTCAACTGGAACCTCCTAATGGTGTAGTCAGCAAACACTTGAGTTGTTGCCAGTTTGACTGTCATTTCCCCGACTTTCATGTCGCCTTTTTCAGGCCAGTACATCTCACATTTGTGCTGAAAGTTAATAGTTAAGACACACCATCATGTTTACCATGTCCAAATAGTTAAAATAAAGATGCAATCATGTCTGGTCACTATTGTCATGGTACTGGCACAAACATTTGTTTTAATTTTTTCATTAAATTCGAAAATTGCATTATTCAATCCATTTTCGTCCATTTTAGAATACATTTTTTTTTTTTTTGTTATTTGAAGCCTCACCCTAGCTTTTGCCAGGGGCCGCAATATAGGCAGGCCATAAATATGGCCAATTGTCTGAACGCGGTTTCTGGGACCTCTCCACGGCGATCCTCATCCACATGGTGGCACTTTGTGTCATCGGGTGTTTATCGCTTGTGTGATGTCCTAGTGGGGTAGAAAGTCAGTCAGTCAGTCATTAAATTGGAGCTTCTTATCAAGTCAATGATTCTATTCGCAATATATTTATTGAATTTATGACAAAGTGGCAGTAAGAAAGTTGAAAAACATTGTTCTAACAGCTCTCATTCATCACACATAAATAAAAGAGTGCCGAAATGGTATGTTGAACCAGTGCTTATATACGGCTGTGAATCTTGGAATGTCAATGAACAAATTAAGAAGAACATGGATGCCGTGGAGATTTGTTTTATAATGGCATGTTGTCAACACTGTCTATAGCAGTGATTCCCAAACTGTGCCCCGCGGCGCCCCGGGAAGCCGCGACCTCTTCATAGGGGTGTCACGGAATATTATAAAAGATTTATAATTAATTTAAGTAAGACACAAATAGTCATAGTTTTACTTAGTTAGGTTAGAGCGCCACGGAAAATTATAAAAGATTTATAATTAATTTAAGTAAGACACAAATAGTCATAGTCTTACTTAGTTAGGTTAGAGCGCCACTGAAAATTATAAAAGATTTATAATTAATTTAAGTAAGACACAAATAGTCATAGTTTTACTTAGTTAGGTTAGAGCGAAATGGAAACAATTGTTTTCGAAAAAATGCTCCGTGACCAAGACAAGTTTGGGAAACACTGGTCTAGAGGCATGGCAACTAACAACGACTGTCTAGAAATGGCTAATGCAATTAGAAAACTATATAGAACTATAAGACAGAGATAGTCAGTGTTCTTTATTAATGTGATGAGAAGAGAAGCATTAGAGAGCACCACGATGACTGGAAAGATTAACGGTAGAACAGCTAGAGGCAGACCAAGTGAAATTATGAGTGACAGCCTAGAGCGATGGTGTGGAGGAATATCATCAGTGGAACTGATTCAAAATATCAAGGACTGCGATCTGTAGAGAGACAAGAGCGCCAATGGAAACTCGCAGGGCAAATGTGATGATCAAGATTATTACTCTACATTCTCTTCACCCCCCCCCCCCCCCCCACCCTTTTTTCCCTTGGTCTTTTGTGCAAGAACGTATACGCTTTTCCTAGATAACATGGTTTTGTAATTCATGACTATATATATACCTTCGTGTTGTGTGTTCTTCATAATTATAGTATATTTTAGGTTATTAGTAACATAGTAACTGATTTATTTATTGATTGTTTAAAAAGAACTGTTGTTAAAATCTGGAGACCCAGCCTGGGACAGATGCCAGAAATGTGGGATGCTGGATGTTAGTCTAGGGCATTGATTGTGAACTCCGACATATTATCTATACATAGGACTCCATCGCCCCAGTTATGTCATATCTCAGGGGATTAACTTTGGGATTCATTAATCTATGCCTCATCCCCTGCCTTTCATTACCCTTGAAGTTGCTTTCCCTATGTGCCCCAGCAATGCCACGTGTCAAAAAGAAACAAATTCAACCGTGTAGATTTATCAAACCTCAATCCATCCTACAAGAACGTTCACGATATGTCCGCTGCCATCCCCTGCTTCGAAGTAGTTAAGGCCTTTCTTCGATCTCAGAATGTTGTGTGTCTGTTTTCTTTTCATTTTAAAGTTTTACCTCTCCAGATTTGCTTTCTGTAGGACTCATATCCCATGGATGAAAATCAAACTACAGAAGCCAGAAACCAGGTTCAACCGTAAAGCCATATAGTACAGTTACATTGGGGCAACAACCAAACGATTACGACGTAACGTGTAGTCCAGTAGAGGTGGGTTGTGATGTGTGTGGGTCCGTTTCCGTACCGAATAGCAGGAGCTACGGTGAAGGATCAAAGTGTGATAGCAGTAAAAGCAAACAATTGAAGAATATATTTCTATACGTTTGTATAAATATCGCCACTCTGGCCCCTTTCTTGAAGAATGGCTTTGAATATTCTTCCCCTGGACCTGCACACCTTGTCGTGCCGGCGTAAATGGTCACTAGCGAGTGGACCAAATGGCAAACAATGCAGCAACGCCTGCAGGAATCAACATGGGCAGAGCAGATATAAACACTGTATGGACTGAGAGTAAACATGGCGAAGGACGTCTATGCCGCCTTCAAGGCACAGACAGGAAATATTATAGCTAATTTTTTATGAGGACATTCAGTAGAGGTACTTGGGAGTGGCTGCGGCATCAGAGGACTTAGCAAACATGTATGATAAGCATTGATGTCGATTGTGATAACATAACCTTTCTTGGCGGGAAAAAGAATTAATTCATGTGTTACCTTGCCGTCTTCCACCAGGTTTGTCAGCATAACGACTTTATCAGCTTCTTGCTCCCACAACATGCGCAGGAAATCTTCCAGGATTGTCTTGGTTGGACCTGACAGATACACGCATCTTACAATAATTATCTGCATCTATAATTTTTCAATATCATTATCGATTTAATCAATACAACATATATGACTGGATCAACAAGTGAGCTGTATTATAAGCAACACAGTTACCTTCAACTTTAGTATTGTTATATGATAAATTAACAAAGATATCGTGTCTGCTTTATGATCAGACAGACGACCGGATCAATCGACTTTTTGCAGCCTCCACTTTCTGCAGCTATTTAATATTTCTTGTAGCTACTTAAAATGTACTACTTCTATTTTTAAAGACATTGATTTATTTTTCCGTATGCTGACGTGGACTTTCTAGCTATAAAAGAGGTTCTGTCACATGTAATTAATTCTAGTTAAATTTAACTATTGTAGGTATATTATTATACAGGTTTGTACAAATTATACGTGTGATCTCTAAGAGAATTATATAAAAGAACTATGTAACTAAGGCGGTACTCTGTGGGAGCTTCTGTAAACCTCAACTGTACAAACTGCCGTTTGATGATAACAAGAGAAGTGTGAAGATATAAGTCTGCATCTCTTAACCAGAGATGTGTGTAAGAGAGTATCGTAGATATTAGACTGCGAATCACATTTCGTGCGTTCAGAATAACATGATTCCCAGGTCGACTAAATGTTAAATGGGTACCAAATATTTTCATGGGAAGCAAAGGCGGCTAGATATAACACACATAATATGAGACATAAATATAAGACTCAACAACTTACATTGACATATTTGTAAGAGCTACATAGGTGTAAGCTTCTCCGACTTATTTGAAATATCTGTAAGAGTTACATAGGTATAAGCTTCTCCGACTTATTTGAGATATATGTAAGAGTTACATAGGTATAAGCTTCTCCGACTTATTTGACATATATGTAAGAGTTACATAGGTATAAGCTTCTCCGACTTATTTGAGATACATGTAAGAGTTACATAGGTGTAAGCGTCTCCGACTTATTTGAAATATCTGTAAGAGTTACATAGGTATACGCTTCTCCGACTTATTTGAGATACATGTAAGAGCTACATAGGTGTAAGCTTCTCCGACTTATTTGAGATATCTGTAAGAGTTACATAGGGATAAGCTTCTCCGACTTATTTGAGATATATGTAAGAGTTACATAGGTGTAAGCTTCTCCGACTTATTTGAAATATCTGTAAGAGTTACATAGGTGTAAGCTTCTCCGACTTATTTGAAATATCTGTAAGAGTTACGTAGGTATTAGAATATCCGACTTACCTTGAGACGCTATAAACATCTCATCGTCTCTGTAACCCTTGGAAGATTAAAAGCAAAGTTTGAGTGTTACAACAGCTTAGCTATAACTGTATGGGCATGATGACAAAAGTTGCAAAAGATGTGTCAAACATTACAACAGCTTAACTCTAACTGTATGGGCATGATGACAGAAGTTGCAAAAGATGTGTCAAACATTACAACAGCTTAACTTTAACTGTATGGGCATGATGACAGAAGTTGCAAAAGTTGTGTCAAACATTACAACAGCTTAACTTTAACTGTATGGGCATGATGACAGAAGTTGCAAAAGTTGTGTCAAACATTACAACAGCTTAACTCTAACTGTATGGGCATGATGACAGAAGTTGCAAAAGATGTGTCAAACATTACAACAGCTTAACATTAACTGTATGGGCATGATGACAGAAGTTGCAAAAGATATGTCAAACATTACAACAGCTTAACAGTAACTGTATGGGCATGATAACAAAAGTTACAAATGATGTGTCAAACACACCTCTACTAAACATTTTGAGGACAGCACAACATATTGATGGACTCACCGTGCATGCTTCGGAAAACTGAAACTGGCATCTTACGCAAAGAAACGCTTGCATCACTTGACAACATTCAGATCTAATCAGTTTTTGATTGATGGAAGATCCATTCATTCATTTATTCTACTAATCAATGATCTTCTAACCCTCAGGCACATGCGTCCTGTGAGAATTTCAACACGTCATTCTTGTTTCTTCTTCAAAGCGTTCATCGGCTGTAAACTCCTATAGAAAATTCTGGTTGTTCATCCACTTATGGACTGTTACGTGTTTCAGAACCTGAGTTTTGAGTACAAATCGATTTTACAGATGTGGGTCGATGTTTGTGGTTTCTGTTGTTGCTGCCTACAGACTGTTGGATCCTTACTTCTCAGCCATATGCTCTACGACAGGGCTGTTAAACTAAGCTTACCTAGGGATCAATATTTTGAAAATGGGGATCGTGGCGGGCCGGACGTCCTAGCCACAGTGTAGAAAAATCATCAATATAACTTGCAGTGATCCGCGGGCCGCCAGTTAAATGGCCCTAGGGTATTTAAGAAAAGAGCCCTAATTATTTGATTTTCACAAAATGCTTCTTAGTATGTCTACCCCCCCCCCCCACCCCCTTTTTTATTCCGTGGGATACCAGTACACACAAAGGGTTAACGGACATTTTAAGTCAGCGAAAAATGTTGAATATTCTGTTATCAATGTTGAATGTCCTTATATGAATGTTGAATATGGCAACAAATATTAATCACTGGAAAACATACAGCATTTCTATACGAATATTTTTTTTTTTTTTTAAATATAAACAGAAGCACTGTTGTCTCTCCGTAAACCACATTGACCAGTATTCCCTTTTACCCATGGAACTGTACTTTGTAAGCTTGTTTCTGTTTATTATAGAAATCTATTATTTTTCCCCAATAAAAATAGATATTTATCTATATTAGCATTCTGTCAAAACTGATTTTTTTTTTTTTTAACATAAATAACATATCCTTCTTCTTAACGTTCAGCGGCTGCAAACTTCAACAGAACATTCTGGCTGTTCGTCCACTTCTTGACGTTAGTCTCGTTCTAAAACTTGAGTCTTGCAGGCACTTTGTTTTACAGATCTAACGTATGTGTATGTGTAGCCTGTTGGCTCCTCGCCTCTTAAGCTAATTTACTTCGTCTTTGAAGGAAACACGCACAATTAGTTGTCTCTTACAAAATGCTTTTGTTTTGAGTTGGTGCGGGAAGGGGGGAGTGGGTCTATTCCTCACTCCCAGAGTGGAGCACTGAAATTTACTCGAGAATGAACTTGTAGAGCATTGCATAATAATCAGCGTCGTGTTAAAACAAAAACAAAAAACTTTATTTACTAACTTCTATAGACACCGGCAAGGAAAAGAAAACGGCTGAGACCAAGAGAGATCCTGCGTAGAACCATCGTCACTGAAAGCTCAACCATGGGTTTAATGTACATTCAACACCTAAAACAGGTGGCAACGAACAGCCAGACATTGTGAGCTATGATATCTGCCTTATGCGCCACCTTTGGCTCAAGAGGGAAGTCTAACTAACTAAACTAACTTCTACACATTTCTCCTAAAAGTTCTTGTTTGGGTGTTCGCTGTTTCAGATTATTCCTGAGTTTCGAGTGCTCATCCTGAACGACAAATCACAAAAGAAAAATACCTCCACATAAGAAGACACCATGCCGCGAGACCACATAGCTCCCAAGGCAGTTATGTTTGGCCGCGCAAGGTGCTTTACAGCACAAAATGACCTTGTATTTCGGCGGCTGGCAAAGTTGAGGCATGTATTTCGAATATGAATCACACCCATTTTTTTTTTTTTTTTGCATCAACTATCTTCGGTTAAAATACTGCAGCCTATACACGCATACATACGGTGCTTCACACAACACTTATTTTGTTGGGTCGGCTCTATATGTACAGCGGGACACTACTACGTAGGGTCTCCGTGGAGAAGTGGTAGGCCGTTTGAAGGTCTTTGGTTCTTTTCAGAGCTGCTTCTTTCCGTTCACAAATGTTTTCATAAGGATTATCCCTGGGGATTATCTCCAGAGCTACGGAGTTCGTGATTTATGCAATGCTCCCAACAATCGGCTAGCTTCTCTCTAGAGAGAGAGAGAGGGGATAGAAATAGATAGATAGATAGATAGATATACACGCATACATACGGTGCTTCACACAACACTTATTTTGTTGGGTCGGCTCTATATGTACAGCGGGACACTACTACGTAGGTTCTCCGTGGAGAAGTGGTAGGCCGTTTGAAGGTCTTTGGTTCTTTTCAGATCCGTTCACAAATGTTTTCATAAGGATTATCCTGGGGATTAGGGTCTACGAGTAGATAGATAGATAGATAGATAGATAGATAGATAGATAGATAGATAGATAGATAGATAGATAGATAGATAGATAGATAGATAGATAGATAGATAGATAGATAGATAGATAGATAGATAGATAGATAGATAGATAGATAGATAGATAGATAGATAGATAGATAGATAGATAGATAGATAGATAGATAGATAGATAGATAGATAGATAGATAGATAGATAGATAGATAGATAGATAGATAGATAGATAGATAGATAGATAGATAGATAGATAGATAGATAGATAGATAGATAGATAGATAGATAGATAGATAGATAGATAGATAGATAGGTAGATAGATAGGTAGATAGATAGGTAGATAGATAGGTAGGTAGGTAGGTAGGTAGGTAGATAGATAGATAGATAGATAGATAGATAGATAGATAGATAGATAGATAGATAGATAGATAGATAGATAGATAGATAGATAGATAGATAGATAGATAGATAGATAGATAGATAGATAGATAGATAGATAGATAGATAGATAGATAGATAGATAGATAGATAGATAGATAGATAGATAGATAGATAGATAGATAGATAGATAGATAGATAGATAGATAGATAGATAGATAGATAGATAGATAGATAGATAGATAGATAGATAGATAGATAGATAGATAGATAGATAGATAGATAGATAGATAGATAGATAGATAGATAGATAGATAGATAGATAGATAGATAGATAGATAGATAGATAGATAGATAGATAGATAGATAGATAGATAGATAGATAGATAGATAGATAGATAGATAGATAGATAGATAGATAGATAGATAGATAGATAGATAGATAGATAGATAGAGAGAGAGAGAGAGAGGGAGAGAGAAAGAGAGAGAGAGACTAAACCGTATAGGATAAAATGGGTGCAATGTTGATCGACAAATATTGACTCCAGTATTGCTGTTTTGTCGGCTCTGTGGCTAAGTCGATGCGATCGCTTCGCTTCGTAATGCCGGGATGCCAGGTTCGATCCCAGCTGCGGGCAATGCGCCTTGCGTTGGTTTCGACGTTGGTGTCAAGAAAGCCGACCGTCCAGTAAGCAATGGCAAACTACTGGATGTAAATTGCTTAGAGAAACCACACAACAGCCAGGGGCTGTTAGGGTTGGTTCTGCAACGTCCTGTAAAGGACACGCAACTAACTTTTTTTATTTTTTTTTTATTGCTGTTTTGCAATTTGTTTGTGTAAAACTCCGTGTGCAGTCTGCCATTTTTTTTCAGTTGGGGCACTGTTGGGGGTGGCCCTAAAAAGGGACAATCATTATAGGTGTATACTGCTGGGTTCACGCACGAACTGACAATCAGAACAATTTTACTCGTTAGTAGATCTGGAGAAAGGCCAGAATGCGGCACCTGTTGTTGCTGAGGCAGCAACAGAAACGACAGACTATTGTGCTGGTGGCCAAAATGCAACAACGTCGGCCAGGATGGTGGCAAACATGTCGCGACCTGCACGTTGAGCGCGACTACGCCACAGAAACTCACACATGTAAGACTCTAATCCATCTTCGGGGCCCTCTTTCCTGGTACCATGTCTCCTGTTATTATTTTTTCCCAGTCTGCCTTGGCGCTTGATATGGCCAAAATAGTTCAGTTTCCGAGATAAGATGTTTTTATTTTACTAGAGAGTCTTCTTTAATGTTCAGATATTCAAAAGCGTCAGTATTTCTTCTCTTCTTTACCCATGCGAATCTTTCTGAAAATGCTGAGTATGTACTCTAACTCATGCTGCTATGACTGTATGCTGCTAACAGAGAGGCAATCTGACCTGTTTCAACAACAGACAAGACAAAACTGTGTGACACACTGTGAGATCTGGACAGCACTGTAGCTTTAATTAAGACTACGGGACTCTTCATACAAGGTGTTGAAAAAAATGAAAGAAGAAAACGTCAAGACTTACAGGCACAGATATTCTTGTATCTGTTCTTGTCTTTGTTCTCTGCACTCAGGCCCACATCCATAGTTGCAGTCTGGTTGTTTGGGATAGCCTGTTGTACAGACAAGCGAGGATTTTTTGTGCGTTGGTTGATGTTGGATGAAACAGTAGCAGTGTCAACAGTGTTTTTAACAGCTGTGGCAACAGTAGTACTTTTGTATTAATAATGGTTTTCTTGTTAGCACAATATGTTAATAGGAGCGAAGAAGAAGAAGATGAAGAAGACACTGACTGTGGTGACGATAGTGAATGGTTCCTTACAGGCAGAGAATCCCGTTTGGAACTGTGTTTTTTTTCCCCCAAGCGGTCTGAGCTAAACTCCCACATATTAGTGTTTACGCAGGATCTCCCACATACTAGTGCTTGCAAATGATGTTCAATATAATAGTGCTTGCGAAAGATGCACAGACTAATGTCTGCTCATGATGTCCAGCAAACAACTGCTCATAATCTTCTACAATCTAATTTTTCCACTGAGGACCTACGTGAAGGTGTTCATATATTTTATTCTGCTACAGACTCAGGATGGCTAACAGAATGTCTGCACCGAGGTCCTACATAAAAGTGGTCAGATATTTTATTCTGCTACAGACTCAGGATGGCTAACAGACTGTCTTCACCGAGGTCCTGCATGTAGCAGACAGGATATCTTATTTTAAACCCCTACTACATGTAAGTAAACCAGCCCCTCATTTCTCATTTAATGTGAGGGCTGCGTGGTCTCTGGGTATGGTGTCCGCCTCGAGTTCTAAAGGTTCCGTGCTCAATTCCCAGTAAGGGCTAGGATTGTTTCACCTGGACTTAGACAGAGGAATTCCCCTTGGGTAATTCGGACGCCTGTGTGCATTGTCGCGCACGTGAAAAATCCTTTGTCGGAAATCGAAAAGAGGAGCCTAACGGCGCTGCAGAGCAAAATTTAGATTTACAAATCTACACAATGTGTTTCAGGATCCTTGTCGGTGGTACAGGGCCTGTGAACTGTGCTGAGCTTCTTTGGACTCAAGCTTGAGTTAGAAGAAGAACGGATCACTTATGTGTTACTATCCGTGTGCCATGATGTTGATACATTGTTCAAACTTCAAACTGCAGTTAATATCAAAGATGAACTAAGGAACATACTACCTACCAAAAACTGGTTCTCGAAAAAGGCCGTGTCTGTCAGCTTCATGAACTGGGGCAGTTCATCAAGAGAGATCACAGTTGAGCTATTGTCGCCGGCAATGTTGTAATACACCCCGTTGTTACTAGTGTTGTTTTCTTCTTTAGCTGTCTTCGATTTCTGTAACTTGCCTGAAAGAAAAAATTAGCAAGCCAGTGTACTTCTTGTGCTTTATATTATTTGAAGGATAAAATGCTTTTGATATAATTTCAGATTGGCGAACATTTGCAATTCCTAACTTTCCCTGACCATCATCAGCACACTACCCCAATAACCATCGTCATCCTAATCGTCAACGACGCATTCTTATTCCTTTGCAAAAATAATATTTGGAAAGGCAAAATGTATTATGTCTATCCAACGACGCTTATTGAGACAGTTAAAATAAAACAAATACATTTAGCAATATCTCAGAGTCTGTCTGTCTGTGATAGACGTACAGACAGACAGTAGAATCAACTGTTTTAACATATACATCTAATAGACATGCTATGGTAAAGAAGACGTAGTGAAGAGACGCCGTGTTCCGATTCCGATATGTTTTTCAAGGGTTTTTATAGACGCATTGCGACACTGAAAACAAGGTCGCCTTGAACCTCAGTGAGAAACTATCTCTGCTATAGCAATGTCTTCATCAAATTCAGTTAGTTACGTATCCTTTGCAGGATCAACACCAGAATTCCTGTGCTTTCTGGACACTGGGCTTCTCTATACCGCTCTCTATACTAACGCAAGGCGCAAGGTCCGCAGCTGGGATCGAACCCAGCAGACCAGCATTACGAAGCGCGTTTGTAACGCCTAAGCCACAGACGCCGACATTTGTCAATTACGTGTCCGGAATTTAGCAAATGACGTCCTGTGGCAGGAGTGGGTCCTTTCCTCTTGACTGGTTCTGGCACCCTTAAAGAATCACTGTATTGTGTAGCCATGTGGGTATGTGCTCTACCAATCTATTTTCAAGCTGTCTCTCAGTTCGAACTTGTGTCTTTTTCCTTCTGCCTTATATCCCTGAATATGGCATAGGTCCTCAACCAACTCATGCCTGGTCGTTCTATTCTTTGTTATTGCAGGTAGCTATCACCGTGTCCTCCCCATCTTTTTAACTTCACTCTCTAGTTCTCTTATTCATTTTTTTTTGAGGGGGTTTCCTTTATTTCTACACCCCTGTGGGTTCCAGTGCATAACTTATATCAGATAATCATGAATGTATAAGCTTTTTTTTTTAATGAAAAAAATAGTCAGCTGGTTGCGACTATACATGATAATTAGGTCACATCAGTTCAAACTGGCACATTTTCATTATCCTTTTATTCCCCTTTTCAGAACGCAAAATATGATATGAATCGAGCCAGGCCCGTTGGCAGATAATCATTAATGGCTATGCTTTTTGCTGAAAAATAGTCATCTGGCCGCCGTTGTTATATGTTAATAAGGTCACATCAATTTACATTGGCACATTTTCACGAGTCTAAAGAAGCTCAGCACAGTGCACAGGCCCTGTAGCACCGGCGAGGATCCTGAAATACGTTAAACAGAATTTCAACTCCAAATTGTTAAATAGACCTAATGAGTTTTGAGAAATAACACAGACTCACTGAGATGGGACAAGGATTTAATGAATTTTGAAATGGCGCAAAGACACAATGACTGCTGAGACAAGACAAGGACTCAATACTCCATGAGGTTGAGACAGAGCAAGAACTGAATGAATGTTGAGATACACAGAGGACTGAATGAGTGTTGGGATAAAACAAGGATCAAGCGAGTCTTCGGAAATGCTATCGATTCGTGTTGACAGGATAGAAATGCAACATTATGGGGACATTTCTTATGGTTAATTGAGTATCTAAAATATAACTTGATTCTTCAGCTTATGAATATCCGTTTTAACTATAACTACCAACCATTAAGTGATGAAATATTGTACTGTCCCTTTGGACAATAGAGTTGTGCTGCTTCTTTTGAAACAGGGTATGCTGTGACTGTAAAGTCTTATGCCGGAGTGGCAGTCTCTACACCATAATCCAGATAGAAACGTTGATGCATAGTCCACATAGAAACGTTTATTCCTTATCGTTTTAAGGCTGGTTTTCACACAGAAAACCCCTCTCTGTGGCTAGCTGCGTTTGATCTTTTACAAATGCTCCACTCCATATTTCACTGTTTATCTCTAAAGGAGTCGGTCTGAAGCTGATCTAACCCTAGTGTCTGTGTCAGTGTTGACATCTTCCAGGTTGCCTTTGCATACGTCCTTGCATCTTACCTTTGGCCTTCCTGCAGATCTTATCATTACTGCCAGTCCACGGTACAGCAGATCCTCTGAAACATTTACCAACATCTACAAACATCATGTAGGCAGTTACTGTCCAGTTAATCCCTGTGTACACATTGTTACAGAGCAAAATGTTTCACTGAGCGCCCAATTTATCGAAGAAGTAATGTGGGCAGGAAGATATAATCAGTCGTCACCATGAACTTACATGGATGTTTCACCATCAGTCCAGTCTGTGCTGTTGACTGCCTTGAATCTTTCTTGTTCTTGACATCGCGATCCTCCATCACAAATGCCTTGGTTGGCGCTGAACGTGAGTGTCTCCTGTATGAGACAAATTAGGAATGAACCAGGCATACATCAAGTTTAAGACAGGAGACAAGTATTAGACCGTTATGAGAAAAGTATGAAATTATTACGAGATAGGAGACATATATGAGAAACCTATGAGACACGTAATGAGACAAGTGTAAGAATGGAAACAAGTAGAGAAATGCATGTGATAGCTATAAGACATGTATGAGAAGTACCAGACAAGTATGAGTTAGGGACAAGAAAGAAACGTGTGAGACGGTTATAAGACAGGTATGCGACAAGTATGAGACATTTATGAGAAAAGTATGATACTAGTATGAGACTCGTATGAGACAAAAGGCACATATAAAATATGTATGATGCAGTTATTAGACAAGCATTAGACAAGTATGAGACAGACAGAAGTAGAGAGATGTATGGGACAGTTATGAGACACGTATAAGACTAGGTATATATAGTTATGAGACAGGTATGAGACACGGTATAGATAGTTATGAGACACGTGTAAAACAAGGAATGGATAATTATGAGACATGTATATGTGTCGTGGAATGATAAGCCATTACGCATCACCCCTAAAAATGTTGAGACCTGTCTTACTTGGGGTCGACACAACATTCAAACTTGGACTCGTCCGGAAAGGTATATAGTTCCTTATATCGATATATGCCTTTATCGGACACACTTAGAATATCTACATCTTCTAGTTGCTTTGACTTAGCGTCATTTTCTAATTTGCAACTATTAGATAAATATTACTGGAGTTATTTGAGGTTTCTTAGAAACCGATTTACTCCTTGCTCCTGTATACAAGGAACTATTTCTTACCAACGCCTTAATTGAAATTTAGCGGTATTATTCTGCCGGCTTTCCTGGAACTCAGACGTGCCCATCGACGCCAGTACATTTCATTTAAAAAAGGCGGTCTGTGGCGCCTAGGACTTTTCCTATGCTTGGGTAAGTTAATTATAGTTTACGAGTACCTAAAATGATGTCTGTTAAAGTGGTCACTGCTGTAGAGAGATCAGTATCGGCTGTGGAATCACAACTAGTTCGACCGTTCTTGATCGCTAGAGAAGCGGATTCGAACCTAGACCTTCCTCTGTACAGACTAAATAGCCTATGCCCTAAATAACCCACACATACTGATAAAACTAATAACCTTACAAGTGTGTACTATTTAAACTAACAACAGAAGTTTGTGCATACAAGTGGAGAAAGGGAATTTAGGTCACGACTTGGTCAGCCAGTGCGTGAGTGTGTGTGACCCAGATCAATGAATGTGTGGGACTGGCTTGAGAGTCGTAGGGAATAGAGGTACTGACGGTAAATATTGGTGTCTGTGTGCAGATGGGAGAGGGGAGAGAGATTGATATATGTGTTAGAGTATCTATCTCCACTATATATCTGACTTTCCATCTCTTGCACTAAACAGACAGATGAATGATAGGAGACAGTGTCTCCTGGTCTGGAGAGTGCACTCTGAGGAATGAAACAGGGGAGCAGAGGAGGAGTAGGCTGATGTAGGATGGTGACTGATACTTATTCTGTCTTTCCTGTCAAGATGTTACCCTCTTGGTGATGACTAATTCTGAGTTCTTTCTTGGCAGGATGAAACCTTTGTGAAGAGCGGGCAGAAGAATCACAGTCCAACCAACCAACCATCAACCTATTACCTACCAATTATCACCCAACTACCAGGTGTGGCGATTGATGTCAGTTTGGGGTGCCATATACCCCAAACTTCCTACAGTGCCAGAACATGTGTGTAGCTCAGGGACAGTGCTGCTAACGACTAGTGAGAGACATTTGCTGTGTGCCTATCCAGTTGCTGTGTCCTTTATGATGAGGTACTCCTTTGCCATCTGATCCAGTTGAAGCAGAATTACCAAAGACAGTCGAATCATCAGGAGCTGAGGGAAGCATCAACGATAGAAAGAGGATAAGTGCCAGTTTAATGCCCTATTTTGCTATATTCCTCACAGTTCCCATGTTTCCCGAGGATGAATTTGGGTCATCTCCAGATCATTCTGACTGTTTAGTTATCTTTGCAATCTGGATATTGTATTCTGGAATCCAGCTATTGAGATCTGGCATCTCCTTCACTAATATATATATGAATATGTTGTATTGATTACCTGCATTCATTTTCATGGCTGACTTAGGTGTCTCTATTTCACCTTTTTAAGTGTTTAGCATTTGTGTGTGTATGAATCTTAAATATATGTTTTAACGTGGTTATGATAATGAATTATCATAACCTGGGGGCTTTCTTTAGTAAGTAGTAGGGTTGTCCAGCCAAGTGTGCCTAGGAATATTGTATTCATATACAGATATATTTTGTAGTGCCAATACTTGAGTTGCCCTACTCCAGAAATAAGTTGAGCGTATATTGGAAACAGGGAATCCCTTAGACCAATACGAGCCAAACGACTCAACATAATTATTTCTGAGTGCTGTTGGTTCTGAAGGAAAAATCCCTATTTCAGGCACGTGACAGGAGTGATATGTGACAATAAGACAAATGATAGATAGTGTTATGAC